AATTTGAAAAGCATGCGGGAAGGGCCTCAGCACGCACCACGTATCGCTGCGCCGCACTGTTTTTCCGTAGCATAAAGATGGTCTTCTTTCATCGCCCTCGCAGTGCCGACGAACGTCGTCTGCTAGCCAAAGTTTAATAGTTTTGTAATGAGCAGCCGCAGACTGTCACCGCGAGGCGTCGTGGACGCAGGCCGAGGCCGAGGGGGGGTCAACACGAACCCCAGTGATACACGCGTCGTCCGAAAAGGTCATCCGGCGTTCGTTGCCTTGGTGACGGCGATGAAAGCAGACGGCCGTTTTGCTGCGGAAGAACACTGCGGCGCAGCGATACGAGGTCCGTGCTGATGCGCTTCCCACATGCTTTTCGATGGGCGGAACGCGAGCAAAAAGAGTTCGAAATAAGGGCTTAACGGAGAAGACGGGTTTTTTACAGCGCCTCATAATTTGACGAGCCTTATACGAAAAGCGTGTTTTTTTTTTTTTTTTTTTTTTTTTTTCTTGTCATCTATCGCCCTGTTTTTTATCCATAAAATGGGTCAATCACTTAAATAACTTCTGAATGAGATGTCGGTTCAGGCTGAAACTTTGGCATATGATTCGAACTTCTAGCGCTACCTTCGGGCGGAGAATGAGGGTTCAGCGACGCGTAGTTTATTTTTGCGCAGAAAAAAAAAAAAAAAAAAAAAATTCTATTCTTTGGGGGGACACCCTATTTTATGTGCGTGAGTTCTTTTGTTGTTTTTTCGCGCACAATAAACTTTTACACCGCCGGAGCCATTGAAGCAAACTTCAAATATTTATTTCATGGGTAGGTCAGATAACGGTGTCCCAGTCAATACTGCAAAAAGTTTCAACCAAACAAATGAACCAGTGACAAATGCGCCCAGCGGGCGTACAAAATTGGCTCTCACTCCCCCCCCCCCCCCCCCCTTTCCCTACTTCCTTAAAACGCTTATTACTACTACTGCCAAACAAATTTCATTTCTCCACAAGTACTATATTCAACGTTCCATGAACCGATCGTTAAACTTTTTTTTTTTCTGTTCACTCCTGACAATAAAAAACAAAACCCAATAAAAAGAACTGCACTACACGCTTTTCTAAGGCAACTTCGAGACGAATTCTATCCAGGTTGTCGGCGGGTCGCGAGGCGAAAGAGAAGAGATACCGAAACTAGTCACGAACGACAAAATAAACTCTTCCGGGGCGAGCATGGCCAATCCTGACTTCATGCTGCAAGCAAAAACGTTCGTACCTTTTTTTTTTTTTTTTTTTTTTTTTTATGGTTAGGCACGTTAACCTATGCATTTTGTGGGTCTAATATGAAGACGCCGGTTCCGTTCAGTTTTGGCGCGAACTTGGAACCATTTCATAAATTAGTGCTAATGACTACAGGAGGAGAAGGATCCACAAAAATACGGTCCGATCGTGAGCTCGCGAACATTAAAAAATCTCTCATTGGCTGATAACACTCGCCCATTAAAAAGCTGTGACGCCACGTCCAATGATAACCCGAGAACGCTCTCGCTGCTCTCACCTCGGGCCAAAAGAGAAGACCCCGAAACAAAGGTTACAATAAACTAGAACAGTGACATATACGACAAGGTAGCAGGGTGGTACCATACGGTAATACGGCAAGCATGACATACGGCGACATCACAAGTCACTCTCACGGGAGGATGCAGCAGCGCGGACGTTATATATGGTGTACTAAGACAGGAGAGTGCCCAGTGAAAACGGCACAGGACTATGTCCTATACTACAGAACAGTGTCACACCTGTCAATATACGACTGGCCAGTCGCATATATCACGCGTATGTGTAATGAGAAACGAGGCAGTGTGTCATGAGTGTGCCACCTGTTAGCGTTGCGTGACAAATGAAACACTGCCGAATATACGGTTCGTTTCTCGGGGTGGAAAGCCGTCTTTCCCTTTGTGGTGAACGGTCTTCCCAAAGATTAAAATCGCTCCAAACGCATTACGATGGGTCTCCGCTCACTGAATAACGGCGCAAAGAGGATTTAGACTGCGTGCCTGCACAACACATACAACATATCGCCTATATTTTCAATGCGAAAGCATTAACTGTCTCATGGAGCCGGACCGGCGTTATCAGCTTTTGAAGCCGCTCCAAACGGCTCCTAAATTGCCCTGTCCGATGGAGCGAAGCCTGTCGTCTGTAGCAGCCTATTGATGGATAGACTCGCATTGGCTGGCGCTCGGCATAGTTCCAAGGAACGCCACCACACTGCCATGGCGCAGCGGCCCGGCCGCCGGTAAGAGGGAGAGGGTGGCCGGGCTCTGCTAAGCGGCCGGCCGTAGAGCCCGCCCGGGCAGCATCCGGAGGGGTCGCCCGGCCGGGCTTAGCGCGGCGCGCAGCTTGGAGGAATAGGATACCGACACAATGGCAAACTTAAGCGTCAATGCTTTTTTTTTTTCTTTTTTTTTTTTAAGCCGCGGTAACATTGGCAGTACGCCATACAAAAGACAGTCTCCAGGCACTCCCTAAGGCGTTTCGTCGTTTACCCTGAGACTGGGGTTTTTTTTAGAAGAGCAGAAGTAACAGAAAAAACAGACAGCTCTCTTGAGACCTGTCTTTAAAAAAAAACAAAAAAAAAACAGTCTCAGGGTAAACGACGAAATGGTTGACTTCCACCAGCTAGCCTGTACCTTGACTCTTTTCTCCCTAAGGCGTGTTATTTCTTTCTATGACGGTCTATTTCACACTGGTCGTACAAAAAAGCCCTCAGCAGGCATGTTCGAAGCAGACATGGGTATGAAGCAAGCTGCCATGCTTCCAAAATGCTTGAGGCGTGTGCGCAGATGATTCTATCGTAATGTCTGTGGTGAACACCGCGTCTTTGTACGATGTGTAGGGCGTGTGCCTGGATGTCATCGAAACTACGTAGGATGGTGGAAGGTAGTCACCTAGGACATAATTACTTAGGCGGTAAAACTTGATGGCTGGTCAATAACCTTTCGAAATAAAATTTAAAAAAAGACAGTTGACGATATAATTGTGTTTATTGCGGCGCTAACAGCGTCGCGCAGAGTAAGTACAGATGCCACGTGGTCTGAACGCTGTAAGATCGAAAGACCTCCATCGGCCAGGCGTCCATTAGTGAGCCTAAAAAAGCGTCGATACGTCGTGCAGCGGCGGCGTTGACGGAAACACCTGCCGGCTTGGGTGAGCGGCACTTTCACGAAACCGGCGGCCTTGGACGCCGCCAACGCGGGGCCAGGGAGCCCCGAGTGCACGCGGTCCTCCGTCCATGCCTTTCAGTGTCACGGTGAAGGAAGATCGTGCGCCGGGGCTCTCTGCCGCGGCCATATCGCGTCTGGTCGCGTGACGGCGGCCAGGGAGAAACCTGCAGCGTGGCTTCTGCCCTCTTTGGTCGGCGTGCAGCGAACCTTTCGCGAGGCCTCGCGGTCGACTCTTGAAGTCCGCTACAGGACCCTCGAAGAGGCGTCCTTATGCTGAGGGAGCATGTTTCTGCCGGGTGCTTGGAAGAAAAGAGAACGGCGCATCGGTAGTTCGTTATAGCCCGTGGCAAAGGTTACCCCCATGTTGCCGTAAAGAGAACTGGGACCTAAAAACAAGATTTTCGGGTAAGGCCCGTCACAATGGGGAAACGCATCTTCACCCTCTTGGGTTTGAACACTTCGAAGCTTTGTTCTCGTAGCCTTTTTTCACCGCTCCATCGCGGCAAAAATTAAAAAGAAAAAAAAAACAGAAACGCAGTTTGTATATACTTAGTGTGTCGTACATGGGTATCGCGTACTTTGCTCCCAAAAATATGAGATAATCACACGCGCTCAAGTGAGCTTCGAGTGAACTAACCCATTGGGCAGATTAAGCACATGGTGTTTTCGTAGGACGGCACTTGTGTCGGGAGCACGCAAAGCATGCTTCGAAGCGCGCGTCCGGACCGATACCGGCCCTTCGAAAACGACCTACTAAATAGCGCTAGCTACTGACCGCCAAGACCGTCGAGAGCTTAAGGGTCAGTTATACTTTTACGTTGAGCGCAGCAAACGCAGCGTAGCGCAGAACGCCAGCGTTTCATTGGCCGTCGAGCAGGAACTCGACATCTGCGACCAATCAGTACCTGTGTGGGCCTGTACACCCTAAAAAAAAAAAGCCCGTGCGTTTGCTTTCCCGCACAACACTCGGAGAGCCAATCACCGTTTCGGCATCGTCATTCGCTGAGCTGCCTCCGTAAGTTGCGGAGATTGGCTCTCCGAGTGTTATGCGGGAAAGCAGACGCACGGGCTTTTTTTTTTTTTTTGTGTACTGACTAGCACGCCACGCGAGCCTTGGGCTCTGCGACGCGAGCGATCACTACGGCCGGTACCGAGGTCACGTGGCCTAGCCACTGCACTTGATTGGTTGGGATATGAATATCTTGGCCATGCAGCGCGGCCAAAACATTTCGATAGTAAAAAAAAAAGGAGTCTTTATTTGGATTATTTCGTCTCATCTTCAAGATGGTATTCCAATTAAAAAGCTCATTTTGTAGGGTAAGAACTTTACAACCATGCTATTGTCTAGCATGCTGTCACCTGGTTTAAAACGATAACCATATCCACCCGACAAATGCCCGAACTCTGTAGGCGCAACTGTCACTATTGTCGCGTGACAAAAGCATGCTACTAAATAATTTCCGATCCTTCATATTAAACGATAAACACTGACTAATAAATCAAAAAGCAGTCGAGTTTGACGAACGTGATCGTGAAAGTCGAACAACTGCTCGCACAAGCTAAGCAGGTTCCATTTATAAAATAAATGTGCTTTGATAGAAATAACAGAGAACATTTAGGCTAGCTGGTGAACTTTCGACGTCTTGTGTGTTCCCAAGATTTGGGAACGCACACATACCTGTGTGTGTGTTGTCCACGTTTTTGTTCCTAATTCTCGGGTGTTCAAGATGTTACGTTTTTTACCTACTTTCTGTCCATACCAACAGTTTTTTTGTTTTTTGCTTCTTTTTGTAGGAAGGTACCGAAGAGCGGTCTGTGGCCATATCGATCCGAGTTCACAAGGCTCTTGAGCTTTCCGACGACAAGTCCTACGTCATCACCTGCGGGAAAAACAACTTCAGGAACGCCAGGTGTGTAACCAAACCTTTGCATATCCTCCACGCGGCTTCACTTTTCCCTTGCCACTTTACTTCACTCCCTCCACTTCACTTTATGATTGCCCGTTGGCACAAGCACAAAGGAGTGAAAACACATGATGGAAAGCGCACGAATAACCGATGAGAATCGCCAGAGAGGCATTCTGACAAGTTTTGACTCGCCATTAACAGCATCGAGATAAAACATGTTCGTGTGCGCTTGTGTAATTGTGTGGTGTATTTGTCCGCGCGCGCGTCTGTGTCCGTGTGCGCGGGAAAATATTAAAATTCCTTGTTGTTTTTCTAGCTTTTGTGACACTTTACTTAGCCAAATCAGCAGTCTGTCCTTAGGGTAACCGATCGTTCCTGTTGGGGATTTTAACAATCCTCAGAACCGTAGTATGCAATGCAAAAATAGCGGATGGCGCCAAAAACATAAGCTGTAACGGACACCATTTTGGCATTCGCGCAAGGTTAGTTAAGTGCTAGAGCTTTAGACACTATAGTCATTGTCCATTAATATAACTACTTTTAAAGTAATTTGGACGAACTGCTTCTCTACCACCCACGCTACAGGGAAACGAGTTACAATTATTGCTACTAATTTACATAATTACTTCGAACCGCATCAAACGTAGTTCCGTGCCCATACCCGAACTGCGTTCTTAGTTTGTTCAGTCTGGGCGATGCTAAACCAACGAACGGTAAAATTTGGAACATTAAAACTAAATCAGAGTAGAAAAAAAACCTACAACACGAAAAAAATTTGGCAGACACTTAAGACTGCTTACGTGTAGGAATGCAAAAGCACTCCTACACGCAGTGCATTCCTACAAGCAGTGCGCCACGTCTTCCTATCGCACACTGCGCTGCGGCGGTGACGTCACGCTCCCCCCACTGCGCAGGCGCGGCGAACCCCGCCGGCTTCTGTGACGAAGCATCTGCGTTGCTTTGCTTTTCTTTGTGTTTTATTTCTGAGGCGCGTCCGCTTTGACCTTGAGCGCCCCCGCAGGCTTCCGTGACGAAGCATCTGCGTTGCTGCGCATTTCTTTGCGTTTTATTTCTGAGGCGCGTGCTTGATGACGTATTGGTGTGACCATCTTTAGGACACAACGCCGTCGCTTTTTCGCGTATATAATCAAATAAGGCTTTGCGTTTCTTCTTTTTTTTTTTAATGGCCGACAGCATGCGCTAGGAGGCATCTGGATCAGACCTATTCGTTCAGGCAGCGTTCTTAGATAAAAATAGAAATTAAGAGTAAGAAGAAAACCGTATCTAGAGCTTGGACAAACGACAGTGCAGGAGTGCGTCATTTACTGTCCCCCAAGATTGTCTAAGGTACTGCAATCAAAGGGAAGCTGACCGCATGCATCGTTCAAGCGGAGGGACTTCTTGCCAAGAGGCGATCGATGGCGACATGGCGTGGTGTATTCGCTGATTTAACAACTTTTCGACAGAGAAAAAGAAAAACCTAGAAATATATAAATTGGACCACCAATGACGGTTATGCTGTAGTAGTAAACGCGTTTATTGAAAAGAAAGGGTGATTATGCCGTTACCTCTTGGTTGTTACCATCTGGCAATACAGGGGAGGGGGGGATGATCTGGGAATGGGAATTAGATGTAGGGGATGAGGCCTAAGGAACAGATAAAACTGACGGCTATACTGTATTTTATTTGCCGGGCGGGTGGCGCCCTCTCTCGGCGGCCGAGCCAACTAGAACCGGCGACAGTCCCTGCTAAATTCTGCCGCGCTGTGGTCGACTTGTTTGAGCCGTGGTTTCTGCCGGTGATCGGGGGAAGTCACCGTGCCTTGCAACGTGACTCAGCTAAAGCACATGCACGATAGGGTGTCCAAGCTTGAAGGAAAGGGCGGTGTGACCCGATGATAGTTCTTTTCGGGCTCAGTCCAGACTCAGCAGATGCTATGAGGGACCTATCAACGAAAGTCAAAGGTGCAATTGACTGGACCTTCCCTGTACATGGACGGTTCAGCGATACTAGCACACGTGCACAAACGTGGCGAACATCACATCGGTGCGCTTTTGACGCTGCTTGATTTGTCCCATCGACTCCAAGCATTGGCTGCGTCTGGAACGAAGTAATATAGCAAGTTTTTGCCGCCATGTGCGGTGGTCTGGTTCTGGGGATCCGTACAAAATTATCTCGGACAAAATGGCTCCCTACTACTATGTGGTGCACGTCAAAGACCCCAGGTTAGCGGTTGTACTGCACTGGATAAATTTCTCATCTACAGCTAAGAGACTGGTCATCCGTGGAGGCGTACCAATATCAAGGCTGTCAAACATACAAGCAACACGATTTTATGGCCCCATGCACATATCAGTACGAGAAAAAAAAAAAAAGGTTGTTCCACAACATGCCATTGCAAATATCTAGTATGTGCATGATGATGTCTTTGACTCATTATGTACATGCCTTTTCTTGCACCTCCATTGCACTAATTAAATTTAAAAAAAAATACTGTCGCAAGATGTGACAATTTTCACTAAAGTTGCAGTGCAGCCGACACTACGAACTGGTAGCACCAATCAAACAGTGCCAAAAACAAAACATAATAACGGTGCTTGTCGACTTTTTTTGTGCCGACTAGTCTGATCAAGCGCAGAGAGCGCATCGTGACTTTGCGCTTTTAGTGTCATAGGTGTGTTTGTGCCGTAACTTCCAGGCTCCAGCATTGTACAGTGCTCCGAGTTATGTGAATAGGAGCCATAGAGCCGAGTGAGCGATAATAGACCTTCAACTAACTTGTAGGAAACTGTTGTTTTCTAAAATATACCACGAAAAGCTTGAATAGATTAAAATATACATTACACATGTATCGAATAAACCTTCAGAGTAGCACTTCGCTAAAACTATCAGAGAGTGCCCAAAGTGTCAACAAATCACTTGGGACCATTTAGTGCGGGTTTGCGCTTTGGACCATTTTGTCCGGGAGCATTTTGCCCTACACCCCCGAGTTTGATGTCACATGCATTGTGAGGGTAAAACGAAAAGTGGGCGAAAGAAAAAAAAACACACAAAAACGACACGTTGTTTTTTTTTTTTTTTTTTTTCAACCCAAAAATAAACAATGAATTGCCGAACGCTCATTCTCTGGCCAAAAATAGCGCAGCGGTCTGAACCAGATTCCGAAGTTTCGGAACTAAATGTTACTTTAATCAAACATTATCACTGATTTTCTTAAATTTCCAATAAAAAAAAATGGCGGCCGACAGAGCCCTCAAATGCATGGAGCTCAATGGCACCAGCTACCGAGAATGGGCCCTATTTTCCCACTTCAATTTTCAAAAAATTGCACAACTTTTGAGTGAGATAACAGTTCCGAAACTTTGGCATTTGAGTCAAACCGCTAGCACTACTTTCATGCAGAGTTCACCAATGCATTTATTTAATGCAATGCAAAAAAACACTAAAATTTTGGAGGGGATACGCTGTACACAGTCAACCTCTGAAAAAGAGACCGAGCTGGTCTCGAAACGTAGGGTTTTGCTCTTAAACAAGGATTTCGTTGGTGTATATTTTATATATTATATTTTATTTATTATTATTGTACATATATATGTAGGGATGGCGCGAACCACCCGAGGTTCGATATCGAAAGGTTTCGATATTTTCGAACCGAACGGATGTTCGAATTCGAAAGGTTTCGATATTTTCTACCGTACGGAGATTCGATTTCGAAAAATTCGCAACTTTCAAAAATCGTGGAGTTTCGAATTCGAAAAGTTCGAAGCTTTCACGGTTTCTAAAAGTTCGGGTTCGATTATTTCGAATATTTTTTTACTTGAGGTTCGAAAAATTCGAAGATTTCGAACTTTCCCTAACTTGAAATTCGAGAGATTCGAATGTTACGAATTTCTTTGGATCTGAAATTCGAATAATTCGAACATTTCGAATTTTTATAGACATGAAGTTCGATCAATTCGAAGATTTCGAATTTCTTTCTACATAAAGTTCGAAAACCTCGAAGGTTTCGATTCTCTTTTAACGCTAAATTAAAAAAAAAAAAAAAAAAAACGAAAAAAAAATTTAGGTTTTAAATTTCTTTCAAGTCCAAGTGAGCAAAGTTCGAAGTCCGGTTTTCATGTTCCGCCACAGTTTCAGTTTCAAATAAAGGCCCGTTCACACTCTTGCGACCTGGTAAGAACGAGAGAGACCAGACCGGTTTTTAACCCTCTTGCGATCTCTTAGGACCAGCTCCGCTGCAGCGCATGCAATCCAGTAAGAGGTCGCCAAAGGCTTAAAAAACGGTCTGGTCTCTCTAGGTCTTACTCGGTCCCAAGAGTGTGAACGGCGCTAAACGTTTTCACGCCTCACTGGTTTTCACGAAATCATGTTTAGAAATGTTCGGGTGTGATATTTAGACTGCGCGAAGTTGGTCAGGCAATTAAATGGGACGACGAGTGTCCCGGATGTGCTGGATTATTTGCCAGTGCAGAGTGGCATGTGCAGATCAGTAATTGTGACCGCCAGCCCAGGGAGGGGGGTTAACGTGCATCACGCAGTAGGGATCACACGAACGCACTGTTTAACAATACTCATCCAGTTCGAAACGGCCAGGGGCAGGCAGGTGGTTGAGGCCCAGAAAAACCTTGAGGCGATCTGGCAAACTGCCTCCCAGCCATACCCCTCCCCTCCCCCCTCCCTCCCTCCCTCTCCCCTCCCCCTCCCCCTCCCCCTCCCCCCCCCCCCCCCCCGCAAGCTGGTAGTAATCCGCTCGAAAGCCGCCCGAGTGATGCTGGCATATAGTAAGTTTAGTTTGTACATTATGCAAAATCCTGATACTGGGAATGAAATTTGAAAGAAAAAGTGTAAGAAGACAGAAAAAAGGAGACAGGACAAGGTCTCAAACTCAACTCAGATGAAAACTCGGCTCAGGACAGCGTCTCGAACTCAACTCAGCTGAGTTTAAGACGTTGTCCTGTCCCCTTTTAGAGCGCAGCTCTTCGGGGCCCGTTTCCGGCTTGAGCGGCGTCGCCGTCGCCGTCGGCGCAACCGCGCGGTGCATCATGGGAAATGTCCCATAATGCACCGCGCGAGCCCCCCACCGGGGTCACGTGACCTCGTGGGGGGCACGTGACCGCCCCGAGGTCACGTGACCCCGGTGCATCATGGGAAATGTCCCATAATGCACCGCGCGAGCCCCCCACCGGGGTCACGTGACCTGGTGGGGGGCACGTGACCCCCCGAAGTCACGTGACTCCCCTGAGGTCACGTGACCCCCTCCTCGAGGTCACGTGACCCCCGCCGATGTCGCGTGACCCCCCGATGACGTCATCGTCACTGATGACGTCACCGGCATCCACATCGTCATCATCACTGATGACGTCATCGGTACCCACATCGTCATCATCACTGGTGACGTCACCGGCATCCACATCGTCATCGTCATCATAACTGATGACGTCACCGCCATCCGCATCGTCATCATCACTGATGACGTTACCGACATCCGCATCGTCATCATCACTGATGACGTTACCGACATCCCCATCGTCATCATCACTGATGACGTCATCAGTGACGTCATTAATGCCGTCACCGGCATCCACATCGTCATCGTCATCATCACTGATGACGTCACCGGCATCCGCATCGTCATCATCACTGATGACGTTACCGACATCCGCATCGTCATCATCACTGATGACGTCATCAGCGACGTCACTGATGACGTCACCGACATTCGCATCGTCATCGTCATCATCACTAGTGAAGTCATCAGTGACGTCACTAATGACGTCATCGGTACCCGCATCGTCATCGTCACTGATGACGTCATCAGTGACGTCAGTGATGACATCATCGGCATTGGGGGTCACGTGACCCCCAAGGTCACGGGACCCCCCCCCCCCTGGTTAGTTTAACCCCCCCCCCCCCCAGTGCCCTTCCCTCCTCCTCAAGAGCTGCGCTCTAATTCGGCGTTACAGGGAGTTGTAAGCGGCTTTCATTTTTTTCTCTTTCTTCTTACACTATTTCTTTCGAATTTTGTTCCCAGTCTCGGGATTTTGCATCATGATCAACATACACCAGCTCGCCTGCAAGGGATCTTGCATCATGATCAACATACACCAGCTCGCCTGCACCTTGACAATTCTTTAGTTTGTGGTTGCTTTGGAGGTTTATCTTCCGAGACGGAAGAAACGCCGAGCAAAAAGCACAGAAGCTGACAAAACTTGAAATCGAGGAGCGTTCTACCATACCAGTAGCGTCGGAAGAGGAAAAACGGGGGGAAAGGGGGGGGGAGAGGGCTTCAGCCTCTCTCCCCCCCCCCCCCTCCCCCCCAGATATTTCGGACTGTTAAAGAAAATAATACGGGGAAAGAGGGCATGGTCCAGCTTATTTTAATCTGAAATTATTTATGCATATGTACAGCTACTGTCGCTCTTCACTGCATAAAAGGTCGCGTAGATGGTCATTGTTAGAAACGCGTTGTCAGAAGGTGCTACTCGTCCCATGCTCGGTGGTTCGGAAGCTGTCTTTTCGACCTAAATAACTGTGCCATTGGTAAAAACTAATAAATAAATAAACATAACAATAAATGCAAAAAATAAAAAGCTGGAGAAAAAAAACTCAAGAATCCACCGGAAGTGTTGTATTCTCTCATATTCACAGACCCAGAACTACGAAAGAAGTTTCTTCTACCAAAATGTGTACAGGCTAAAGGAAACATGTCCCAAAAACGTGAAATGAAAAATAAAAAAGAATATATATATATATATATATATATATATATATATATATATATATATTATTTTTTATGACGTGCCGAGTTTGAACAATATTAGAAATCTTTTCCCTGAGTTAATTTCTTCTTCAACATGAAAATAACAATATATACATTAATTTGTATTCTGCAGATGTTAATGATATGTACTGTCCGTGGTGTTAATTTAAATGCGATACCTCAAACAATTACGACGAAAAAAATTACCAAGTTTAGGGCGTAATTGCCCATAGATACATGTTTGGATATTTCTTCGAAACTCGTCTTAAAGAATAGCAATCATATCTTAAGACTACACTTACCTAGGCTATACATAGATCATTCTTAAAAAGTTTAACATCTCTACCATAAATATCTCCGGCTATAGCGCGCTTCAAATATGGCACAAACGACAATTGTCGAAAACCCGTCGTCCTTCCTCGCTCCTTCGGGAATCTATTTCTTTAAAACCAAGCATGCCAGACGATTGAAATAGACGGCATTGTCTTTCGCAAGTAATGCGGCGCCACATGTAAAAATGCGAGAAAAAAAATTATGAATGTACCTCACAGCTTGAATCCAAATGAAACCGCCCGCCCGTCTTTCGAAGTTCGACGGACTTCGAACTTTTACCCTAAAAGTTCGAAGTTCGTCGAACTTTTGACTTTTCAGGAATCGGAAGTTCGACAATTTTCGAATTCTCTAGATTAATAAGTTCGAAAATTATCGAATTTCTTAGCGTAGGAAGTTCGAAAGTTCGAAAAGCTTCGAACTTTTTCGTGCAAGAAATTCGAAAGTTCGAAAATCATCGAATTTTTTAGTCTATCAAGTTCGAAAGTTCGACAAGGATCGAATTTTGCAGCGTAATAAGTTCGAAATTTCGAAAAGCGTCGAACTTCTTACTTTAGCAAGTTCGAAAATTCGACTTCCGTCGAATTTCTTGATATGGAAAGTTCGAAAATTCGAAATCTTTCGAACCTTTCGCACCGCTTGATTCGATCATCGAACTTTCGATTCGAAAAAAGTTCGCGGCATCCCTATATATATGTATTTTGGAGTGGGCTGTGTACTTTTAGTATGCAAAATTGTAAATCAAAAGAGGCAGTGTACGCTAATTGTCCACTTGTGCATTAGTATGACTAAACCGAGTGCACCTAATGAGGAATGTTTTTAATGTCTTTAGGAAACCTGCTAAGTCATTTTTTACACTATCCAGGAATGAGCTGTACCGGGTGTCACTTGGATTCTTGGACGCAGACAAGAAGGTTCATGAGCTCGTCATTGGTCATCAGTATGTCCTCAGGGCAAGTGTCAATGGTCCTGGTGGTAAGTAAAAGGATACAAACAATTTTTTGTATAACATTTGCTTGGTGTACACATCGCGACACTGTTAGCGCGAACACGACATCGGCACATTTTCGCATTTTACTTCTGAATAGTAATAGCAAGCACGAAATTTTATCGCTTACATTATAGAACTAAGTGAGCTCTTTCCGTAGCAACAATAACTTGGATGACATCCCTTGGTTTCAAAAATAAAAACTGAAAAAACCGGCGATCGCTTGTTCGCGCTAACAGTGTCGCGATCTGTACCTTTTTAGTGTCTCCTGAAATTTTTGACTCTGTAATTCATGTGTGATTTCACAGAATGATTTTTTGTTTGCTTGTGAATTTGAAAACTATGGCGACCTCAACCCCCAAAAAGAAAATGCCTTTTTTATGTCACCTTTAATATCATTGGAAATTGTATAAAAATATATGCATGTTCTGTCTGGGACGTGATCGCAAATTCAAACATAATAGAACTATGTATGTGGTTGAAATTCCTTTGTCGTTCCTCCCTTTTTGTGCTCTGTTTTCTTAGAGATCGCTCCGTTATAATCCAAGATGTTTTAGTGGGCAACTCCTAGGCACCCATTTCCGGCTCGAGCGGCGTCAGAGTAACCGCGTGGTGCATTATGGGAAATATCCCATAATGCACCGCGCAGGGAGGAGGAGGAGGAGGAGGAGGAGGAGGAGGAGGAGGAGGAGGTGGTGGAGGAAGTGGAGGGAGGAAGAAAGAAGGAGTAGCGGGGAGAACGAAGAGGTGAGGAGGAGGGAGGAGGGGTATACCTTCCCTCTGTACCCTTCCCTCCTCCTCCTCAAGAGCTGTGCTCCAGTTCGGGATTACAGATTGTTATAAACGTCTCATTTTTTTTGTTGTTTTTTCAGTTGTTCAGCGGCCTTAGCTTTCTCTTTTTGCCGCTTTTCATAGTTTTCGTTCAGCCAAAATAACAAGATTGTTACTTTGGCCGATTTTGATTCTTTTCTGGATTAAATTGCCCTCATATGTGACTTCAAGGCAAACTGCTGGCCTACAGATCCTCAATGGCAGGCTCAAACCATTGGCAGCATACTCACAAACTGCTTATTCCAGTCTGGGCACCGTGTAATAAAGATTGACGCTGCCTACTAAAGATACCCAGGTCATCTAAATTAATCTCCAGTGCTCCACTGGGGTGCTCTAGATGCCCCATTTGTTTAGAATGTAAAACCCCCAAAATACTACACTCGGTATCAACCTTTTTGTGCTACGCTATCAAGTCTAGCGTAGTTTCCACAGTACCGCAGCCTTGCACGTGGCTTTGTCTTGCGTCTCGTTCGTTCAAACAAGCCAAACGAAGTCACGTGCTCATGCAGGTAGCTTTGACAGCATTGGAGCACTGTGAAAACCATGATCCTATTTGTTTATTCTTTCCTGTGTAAATGGAAACCATGCTCACTTTCACAATGTTGCACAAGAAAGTTCACACCAAGTTCTTTTTTTGTTACCTTGTCTTTCAAAAATTAAGAGTGCTTTCTCCTGCACACACTGCTACACTGCAGAAAAAAATAATACAGCGTCCACTACCGGCTGGCTGGTAGGCAAGAAATGTTTCTTTAACTGCCGAGAACTTGAAACGGACTTTGAAAGATGGGACTTTTGCGCAAGCCTATTAAAAAACATTTGGGGAAAGCATTACTACTCAAGTATATCACGATACGACTCTGGTTATCACTTGCCCAAACTAAATATTTATACACTTTTCTTTTCAGGTATCGAAGGCTTACGAGTCAAGTCATGCTTTGGCTTTGCTCCCAACACAAGTGAGGTGGAACTCATTGACATTAATGGGTAAGTAAAAGTGCCGCCTGTGAAGTATCTAAAGGCACTTTTAATGGGAACTTGGGGACGGTCGCAAAAAACATCTAGAAAAAACACTGGAAAGTTAACGAACCGAAGGCAAGAAGCCAGCAAAATGAAATGCATTTTATAAAGACATGCAACCTTACTTGATTTTTTTTTAGGTTTCCATATTTCTGACTCAATGAAATTTTTTTTTTAATTAAGTGAAAAGAGAATGGCTGCATTCATCCACAACAGCCATTAAATATGAAAGCTGTTCGCTGATACTGCAGCAAAAAAAGGCTTACTTCCATTACAACCTTTCAATGACAGAAATGTTTCTTGGATACTGTGTCATTTGTGGCACATTCATAAGATTTCTTGCCTATCAAGCAGGGAACCAAAAGCTCCTCTTAGTAATACTAATAGTATTTATTTTTGGGTGCCCACAAACAGTCAGTCATCTGTATGACTGTGACTGTTTGTCATGAACAAACATAAAAACAGAAATCCACAGACATATTCAAAACTACCAGTTCTAATAAAAAATATATACATAATGTTATGCGGTAAGCACAAGTACCTCCAATTGCTGGTGGTACATTGTAATCGATGCAGAAATGTTGAGGTGAAGTGGGGCAATGCTGTTATATAATGACAATCCGAAAAAAAAGCGGCAAAGTATTACAAAATGAGTAGTGTTAGGCAAATATTTAGAATCTAAATTGTTGAATAACAGCTTTAAATAATACGCTATTCGATATTCGCTCCAAGATGAAGTGCAATATTCATATTTTCCAAAGTGTTGATTGTGGCGAGTTTGCCCCTTTGAGTGTGCTTCTCACAAGGCACCTGTGCACTGCGGGAAAGCAATGCCCGCGGAGCTAGCGGGCTCCGTGGGTATTGCTTCCCCGCAGCACGCAGGTGCATGGTTAGGTAGCGATGTCGTGACAACCTGCGCTCATCATTCGTGCTTGTTTTGTTTTTTTGTCAATTTTGTAATTTAAGAAAGAATATTTGCATATAGCGAGCAAATTTTTTAATTCCCTCAATTTGGATAGCTGCAAAGTCCTTTACATGCCACAATTAATAAATGTGGTAGCTATATATTAAAATTAACTGAGCTTAGAAGTGGACAAGTGTAGGGTTAGGAAGAACCGTCCAGAGATCAGCTAAATGTTTGTTTAAGCATGGTGCACGGTAGTGAAAGGCTTGGAGAAACTATTCGCTTTAAACTCAAGATCCACTATCAGCACATGGCTAAAAACAAGCAAATATATATATAAAAAAATTGAATGTTGGTTAAAGTGAAATGGAACATGAAAGTTTAATTGTGCTAAGAAGATTCGCTAATGCCATTTGTTACCTATTGCAAAAATGCAGTCACAAAAAGTTCTTCTTGCAGACAAAAGCTGATGTGTTAAAACTTTCGGTATAGGTCTATTCATAGTTAAAACAAAAATACTGTCCACTGCACTATCAACTCTTATAACCATCTGCATGGACTCTCATACTCTTCCAAGGCACACCATAACCTCTGGCAATCTCAGGTATTTATTGTTCACCTCGTAGATAGCCATTCCCTAACAAAAGTAATGTTCCGCCTTACAACAAACGCAGCAGTAGCTATAAGCCATCGGAGCCAGTCCAACGCTGTGCTAACAGGCACGCAACCTTCGGAAGGGACGCAGCAACATGTGGGGTGCATGGTCACGTGACGTGCTCAGAGCTCTGAACAGGGTGAGATGGCTTGTAGCATCCGCCGCTGTCAATTTTAAGATTAAACGCAGTGTACACATTTGCAAGTGCGGCCTCAGGCGCCACCACCTTGGTCATTGGGTTGTGCTTGAGAGCAGCCATAATTTGATTATGATGCCCTAGCAAAGCGTCGTAATCGGATTATGACGCGCACAAGCGCATCCAAACTCAGAAAGATGGCGGTGCCCCGAGGCCGTACTTGCTAATGTATATATAAAAGACTATTTTTTTAGTTTTGGGAAATTTCTGACCCTCAACTTCTAAATCGCCTTCAATATTACATTTGTTGCCTTCAAAATCAAGTGTCTAGCTGCAAAAAATACGGGAGTATGTTCTAAAAAGTTTGGAGCTGCCTTATTTTGGCAGAGCCTCAAACTAAACCATGAGCCGAGCCTGGTTCTTCCAAAACAGCCGAGCACGTAAGCCGGGAAAGTCAAACAAGATATACTCGTCTTGAACGCTTTGGGAATGGCTCCACAATGACGAGCTAGGATTGTCCAAAAACGGTTAAGGGGTTCATCTTATCAGCTGCACACTTTCTAGACGTACGCTCTTGAAGTTGGGCGTTGATTTTCAAGAGAAGTGACGACACATTGACAGGTGCCCCAAGACAACGTTCCTGTCCGAATTCAAGTACAACGAGACGTCGGAAACCGCGGATGCAACGGTGTCGTCAACGTTCCGGTTCCCCGGGAGCAACAGGATCAACGTGCAGTGCGACATTGTCGTCTGCCAGTCGGCCAGGTGTGCGCCGGTACGCTGCCCCACCAACTCTTCGAACTTAATTATAAAAAAAGTTTAAGCCAAATTCATAGAAGCAATGTGGAGTGCAAGTTTGCCTGCTTCTTGCACAGGGGTTGCGATGATGTCAGAATGCCGAGCTCTCATTGGCCGAATGAAAAAATAGTGGGTAGACATCGAGGCATCAGCATTCTAGTTTACCCACTATCCTTTTAATCAAAGCCAATCAGAGCTCAGTGTCGTTCTGATGTCGCCGCAACTCCTGCGCAAGAAGCAGACGACTTGCTCTCTGCATATAGTCCCTGCGTGGCTCTGTCGCTTATACAGGGTGCGCCACCTGAAATGGGGCATGCGGACATAGTTTCAAAATAAGTTTTATATATATATTTTTTTCGGAGCTTTATTCTGAAGTAGTGAAATATAAAAAAAAAATTTTAAATCGGTGGCCGCGCATTACCTAAGTCCTATACCAGCCCATTTGTCGTCAGCATACTGGTTTATGAGCTCACTTCTGGGTGGCTTGCTGAACACAAAAACATTAAAAACCAATGGCAGAGACTGGCAATGGGAAAGATAATCGCAATAATTAGTACTTTTAATGAAATATATGAAAAATGACCACCTGGGAGCAAGCTCACAAACCAGTGTGCAGATGAAAGCATCCGATATAGGTCATAGGAAATGCACGACTGCCATTTTTGCTCCATTTATAATATTTGATCATCTCTGACTTGAGCTCTAAGAGAAGAATATCCATAAAACTTCTTATGAAGCGCTCATGTCCCCATTTTCAGGTATGTATGGTTTGAATTCGAATTCGGCAAGGTGTACCAAATGTGTTAGTCCTATGGCCACACCCCGTACGATTTTGACCTATGCGTCGGTAGAGCGTAGGTCACTTTTCTCGTGAAATCCAGGCCTTTACAGCGAAACACCACTTGTATAAACTCCAGTTAAACAAACTTGTTCAGATGAACAAAGTTCTGTAAAAGTCTCCAGCAAACACTTCATTGTGTCCAATACACTCAAATGAGTGAACCTTCCCTTCACTTTAGCAAACTTTATTTCTCGGGGTCCCTCGAAGCTTGTTTGAGTGATATTTCGCTGTAGCACATGCTGTGTTAAAAACGCCTGAACACCTAAAATGTTTGGCAAAACAAAATAACAAGACGTACAGTAAAACCTCGTTATAACAAAGTTGAAGGAGCGGTCGTAATTATTTCGTTATAACCATTAGTTTGTTATAGCCAATGTCCATTTCTTCCCACTATTAGCAAGCAAGGGGAATTATGATTGCTTTGTTATATCCATTAGTTTGTTATATCCCGTTTTGTTATAACGAGGTTTTACTGTAACATGTTGTACACTTGGACCCGTTTCGGTTACAGAAAACAACATTTCTTCGAGAGAAGTTTCGGCACAAGGAGGTTGTTTCGTTGGTAGGGTGTTTTCTTAGTCCGTTCTCAAACTTTTAGATCTCGAGGAACTTCCGTCTCTCCTGATTGGTAGCCGAGGGACCCCTTCCGGTTTCGGTGTTGATACAATAAAGCAGTGCAGAAGCCTAGAGAATGCACGAATTAAGAAATTGGCCGTTCTTTGTCGCACTTTTGCAGACGGGAGCTTACTGGCCAAACTGCTTTTGCTGGTATTGGTACACTGGAGGGTGCTAGCTTCGCTTACGGATATGCTTCTCTTGTTCAACAGACCTGACCACAAAGTATAAAGAAACTAATTAATGCTCACTATACCTGCATGCAATACACCTCCTCACCGTGCTCTTGCACCTTTTTTTTTTTTTCGATCTCCGAAATCCTCTCACTCGTTGCTCAGAGTGTACTAGCCTTCCCTGCAGTAAGTACAACCAATTTTGGAAAATAGTGTTGCAGGTGAGGCTTCATTTGATGACACCGTGTTCCCTTAATATCAACACCATCCATTATCATTTTTGCTCAAAGTACTTCTCAAAAGATTGCAGAAAAGCTTCAAGCATTTCTCAGGCATAGAAAAAGAAGGCAGAGTGTACATAATACTCTTGCTGACCAGAGAGGATTGAAGAATAGCACTTTCAGGATCTGGCAACCGATTCTGGGCACTTGCTAGCACTACTAGTGCGTTTCCCAGGCTTACAAAAACTTGGCCACCATTTGTCTTTTTCTTTTACAGCGGAGCTGTTATGGGCTAGTTTTCCCAGGATTGCGTCCGCCAGCAAATAAATATTGACACTACACTCCAGACAGCTACCGCCATCTATGAGCGATGGCGGCAACCAGTCAACCGGCTTGCCGGTTGTCTGGTTGCCACCGTCACTCATAGATGGCGGCAACCTTTCCAGCCTTTCCACTCTGGCGTGCCGAGTTGCGGCTGGCCATTATTACTTCATTCCCACCATAGTACAGCTTTTCTGGTCTTCCTTCTTCACCAGAAAAAAAAAAAGCCGTGTTTTTTTTTTTTTCAGCTGCTGTTTATTATGAATATGTACATATGAGACACAATTTATTCTTTATTTTCTCAATATGAGTCAATGTATAAAAGGCAAATGTGGTATTGTAGTAATTATAAAATACATATCTGGGGTAGCCTTTTAGAGCACAATGGGGAAGGATCATTTGACATGCTACATCCACTTGTTCTTTCATTGTGTGAAATTCTAAGGTGACAAATTTTTAGTTTGACAGCTGCTAAATTGGAATGCTTGCTTGGTATGTGTAGAGATATTGTAACAGCTACAAAAGGATTAAAGAAAAAATCTTATCACAGTTACTTCAAGGACACACTAGAAGCATATGTTCAAGTTCAAGATTGAAGATGCAGATGTCTCAGATTTTTAAACTTTAACTTTACGAGTATAACTTGTGCCATAGGTACACGAGACGACACTACCAAACTTTTAATCCAAGCAGTTGACTTCGAAACTGAATGTATCAATTAAAAGCTCAGTGAACAGAGGCACCATGCAGGTAGTGGAGGTGAAGAGGAGTGACTTATACCAGGGTTGACTGTGATGTCACAGTTGAACTCGACTCTTTCTCTTTCTCTCTCAGATTCATGATTCAGTTTCGACTGTGATGCACCCCAACAAAAGCGTCCTTTGAATGTTTCACACCGTACCATTTTGTATTTCCACTTTCCAGACGTGCCCAAGCTCTTCCTCGGGGTCCTCGCCTACAAAGTCACAACCGCAGCAGGCGAAGGACGGTGAATCGGCCGTTCAACTGATGGCATCTACAGCCGTCTTTGTTGTGGAACCTGGAGAAAGCAGTGAGTCATCGTCGAAACTAACACTCAAATACGTACTCGGTCAATCGATCTTTACTTCACAAGTAGTGCTACGGGAGCAAGTGTGAAAATGATATTCGACTGCACAAGGTTCTTGGGAGGGATTCTAGGTGCAGCACAGTTAGATCCCACTCTCACTTGCAAGTGCTGTCTTCGACATACTGCCAGACATTCCTTAATTGTACCCCCTTGGTTTTATTTGCATCAGTTTCACAATTTCTTTACTCCTCAAGGCTATTTCTGCTTCAGTATATTGTTTATTTGGATTGCGCCGCGTCCAAACAAGGGCACCGACAGGCCTGAAATGTGACACCCAACCAGTCTGCAAGATGAAGGCATCTTTGCAGACGAGTTGCATGCTATAAGCTACATTAATAAAATTTTCAATTGGAAGTCACTTCAGTATCTTTTCGTGTAGTTGCATGTCATAAAAACTTCAGCATCTTAGGCATTGAAGAAAATATGTGGCATCATGGAATGTTTTCAAGATGATGACATCTTGTATATGTTACAATACAATGCACTGTAATGCCAAGCCTTCTTCACTGACATCCAAATGTCATGACAACATCTGGAAGTACAGGGGTCAATGAATACCAGCAGCTTCATAGCAGCTTTTTTTTTACTGTTTTCCGAACTATTGTAAAATAGCGTGGAAGCGCCCACTTGGCCCTAACGCCCACTATTAACATTTCCCAAACTTGGGAATTCGGCAAAATATATGTTAAGTGCCCGATTTGATCAGACAAGTGCCCATGTCTAGATTAATCCAGATTTCAGAAAAGGAGGGATGGGTGGTGCCCCGGTATTTTACAGTAAGTTTATGCAGTGTAAGCCCACTTAAGTTATGAGTATACATAAAAAGCGGAGCGATATTATGTTAGTCCTTTTACTATAATCGAGTGATATGTTCAGTAAATATTCACAGTTTGCAATAGGTGGACAAACATTTCACTTTGCTTGACTTGTCTTTACTAACAGACTGGTCTAGCAATCAGACTGCTGGTAAAGGCGCAGATGGCGACACAATCACTTGTGGTAAAAAATAAGTCTATGCCAATATCCCAAACTTCCAATACTTTGCAAATAGTGTTTGCTACTTGATTAGCGAATCACAGTGCACTCTTAATGTGTGAAATTTTCCAGTTGGTTGAACATTCGAGAAAGTTGCTAACAATGTCTTCAGAATTTCCAGCGTTCTCGCGTCAAGCTTTGCCGTGTCACACTGGCGCACGCGCGACAGGCTTGACTGTTTTGCACCGATGTACTCGGAAAACAGCTTACGTCGTGTAGCATCTCCATTGGAAATTTTGCTCACTCGTAGATCAACTTTCTTCGATTACAATTATAGGTAGACCTTCAACTAAAAGAGATGGTGCCGAAAACAGAAAAAATGCAACCTAGTATATATTTAAATAGGTCAGATAGTCATTGCTTTGCTTGCCATGTTTTATATATTTTTTAACCCATCCCATCAGAAAGTTTTCCATTGAACGCAAGCATGTAAAATATTTCTCATTAAATAAAACTATTACTTTTAAGTATGTTTGCTGAAAAGGAATTCCGGTTGTGGTTTTTTGAAGTATTCACACTGAATTGAATTTAAAAACCACCCATTCCATTTGCAGTCATTTTTAATATTTGCACTTGATTAGCAGCCAACAATTTTATATTTTGACGCCTCTAGTAAAAATGCATCAGCATAATGGGTAGACGACAATAGCGCAGTGACGGCGCAGGCAAGCTGGTGCAAGTCTACCATTCTGCTAAAACACCGGAGACTAGGTGAAAATATGTGGTCGCTTCACATGTCTTCACTCAGTTTAAGGCCCGTTCACACACGTGCAACCGAGTAGGACTGACTGAAACAAGACAGCTGTTGCGAGGTTCTTTGTGGTTAATAATCGACAAGATACAATGTCCTTCGTTTTTCATAAAAGCTTGTATTTACAAAAGAAATCAAAGAGTTCATATGCTTATACAAAAAAAGGAAAACTTAGTTAAAGAAATGAAAGAAAGGAAAACGCATCAGTCACCATGTCTTTGAATTCCTGTGCAGCAGTGTGTCTTGTGCTGTCGTTGTCGGCCCACGGTTGTGGCTGGAAGTCAGGAGCGGGAGCGGTTGGCTTCCGTCGGCGGCCCCAAGAGTCACCGCAACCAGTGCTCGCGTAGTAGGAAGCCGGGCAGCGTAGGTTTCTATGCGCTGCCCTCGCTGGAACAGGCTGCTGGTCAGGCAGTAGGAGGCCGCCGATTGCCCTGGCCGATGGTGTCGTTCCGCCCTCTCTGCACGTTCCCTTCGGCCAGTCTCCTTTCACGCGCTCTCTGCACGCACTCCCAAAACTTCCCTTCTTCGCCATCTTCCTTTCTCCCTCTGGGCCGATCCATGGGTTGACTTGCACTTCTTCTTTTCCACATTGAGTCACATCATCACAACAGCTTTTTAAGCTTCTTGCGATGGCATAGGACTGGATGCGCTGCTACGGAGCAGGTCCCAAACCGTCGCAAGAAGCTTAAGAACAGGTCTTGTCTCAGCAGGTCCCATTCAGTTGCAAGTGTGTGAATGGGCATTTAGGTTTTTAAGCAATAACCAAAAAACCGTGAATTCATCTTGATCCCGTGGTTAAACTTGACATACACAATATCTGTCTCTGCGGCATTCTTCAAGAATTCTGGTAAACATTGCAGTTTTTTTTTTTTATTTTCGCTTTTTCTCCTTGGTAAACATTGCAGTTTTTTTTTAGTTTTGCTTTTTCTTCTTTTTTTATGTGATGGTGGGCACGTCTGGGATTCCTTGTTCCTTCCTGCAAACTGTTGAGCAGTTATAGTAAAGACCGCCCCGGTAGACACAAAGCCAATTAGCTTTGCGTCCACCCACAATTCGGAACGACAGCAGAATGTCGAGCTTGCAATCGTGGGGTCGCAGGTCTGACTCCCGTTGGTGCATGTTTAGAAATCCGTTCCTTCTTCTCGACCTACCACCCCTTCATGCAGATCATCTTCTGAAGTCCGCGTTACATGTTTCCCAACGGTGTCCGCGGCGTTCCTTCTCGCTTTCCTCGGGGATCTCGGCCCTCGGACACGTTCCGCATTGAAAAGGGCAGACGACGTCGTGCCAGTACCTTCTAAAGGGGGTCTCCCTTGCGCGTCGCAGCCTCTTCACCGATCCGAGAGTGCACCGAGTGGCGCTTCCCGTGGCTCATCGGCCTGTGCATCTGCCTGGCCATCCTGCTGCTGGTCATGCTCATCGTCAACATCTTCCTCTGCTCCTCCCTCACGTGCACCTGCACCAAGACAGAGGTGCGTCTGCTTTCAGAGCGCATAACATTTTATGCGACGTCGCATACTGTAAACGACTCTCTATTTTCGATTTCGGAAAGTAGTTTAATCAATCTTGCGATTTGGGGGCGAAGTGCTATGTGTTCTTTTCCGTGGAGCGATATAATTGGCGAGACCAATCATTCGCAATGTTTTTCGAATCACAAAAGTCAGGTCCTCGTAAAAATTGAGTCGTTTACAAGATAAAATATACACCAACTCATGTTTACTAACAAACCGGAGCGCCCCTAGCGAACGCCACGGGCGCTGCGCATGCGCGATGAAGTGTGGGCAAGAAGCTCGTCGCCGCCCATAAACAAACCATTGAAATGAGATCTTGTCGGCGTCAGTATGAGTCCCCGTGCTCTTTTTTGCGTTGGAATTGTTGCTTCTATGTCTTCCTGGCAATGTCTGACTACTTGAGCAGCGTCAGCGAAATTGCTGAGGATCGTTACACCGCAAAACTTTGCGTGAATAATGTGACATGCGGCGATTCGTTTTGTGTGGACGCCGCAGAATGTAGCTAAAGCCTGATTCGCATGATAAGATTTCGCTCGCAATTTCCAGTCTCGACATCACTCAAGCTGCAAAAGCATGAACCATAACTGAGATGGTGGACGTCGATACTGAAAATTGCAAGCAGAATCGGACCAAGTGAATCGCGCATAACAACTCTGTGATGGCCACTGGTAACAATGATCATCAACATCTCATTGTATCTACTGTTTACATCGAGCCTGCTTACGAACCTCCAAACTTGTCTTTTGAGGTCTGCACCTACTTCTTATCGCAAGTACCGGGCTAACATTTTGTCTACAGGCCGGTGTCGTCTAAAAGAGCAGACAACAAGCAGAAATGTTTGAAAGAGCAGACGACAGTTCGAACGATCAGGCGGCCGTTTGAACTTGAAGACGCACTGAACGTAGTCCGCAGGTGGTCCGTACAACTTGACGGATTTCCGGCGTTCATGTTGGAACAAAACAAATAAATCTGATGACCACAAGTATCCGTGAATTCAACCCAAAGTGCCTCCCGCCCCAGCAATCGTGGTCAGACGGCGTCTGGTTTTCCTTTTTCACGGCACTTATTCACGTTCTCGGACGAACCAAGCACATGAAAACCGACCTTCAAACCTTTCTCGATTCTTTTGGTACAGCCCCAGTCGCAGCAGTTTGACGAGAAGGCAGGTTTTTGTCTGGTTCCTTTCAAAACAACACAGGAATACACGTCTCACGTGGAGACTTCCGCCCACAGCCCCAGGTCGGAAGTGCGCCCAACACGCCACCACCCCGCCAAGATGTAACAGAGTTAAGTTCATGTGTATGTAAGCCCATAGAGACATCACATGCCCCGTGACCTCACATGACACCGCGACGGGTTGTGACATCATAGCCACATGACCACCCGAGGTCATGTGAAATCACACACGCCCATGGCATGTGCCCAGCTCATTTGCAACATGTCCTGTGCTCCCTTGTCTTCGTCAGCGTGATCAAGCGTGAGTTTTCTGTGCTGCAGTATGCCAGTAACTGCTGCTGTTCAATTCTTCCAATAGAGCTTATGCCAATAAAAAAAACGATTCTGCATTGCCCGTTCTGAGGGTTGCACTGCAAGTTAGAAGCGGGTTAAAAACATTTTCGTGGTAACTACACAAACGATTCCTTGCACACACGTATATGCTGAGTGTGTTGTAATAAGAGGCAATGAATGTTTATTCTGCCTTTTTAGAACACTGAATTTAGTACATTGCACTTAGTGCATCAAAAGAGCACCTCTTCGTACATACACTGCCATACTCCAAGGACGCCGCAGAGCTTGTGCCAGCCAATCGCTGATGCTGAGAAGCTTTTAAACTGAATTTTCTGAATCCACACAGAAAAACTGCTTTGCCTGGTAATACTGCACTAGCCAAATAGACCTTTTGCTAAATTACCTAGGCACCAAGGAACATGTTGTAAGTGTAGTTAAACGCACTGCACGCAAATGCAGTGCGCGTCTCCAGCAGTAACAGTTCTAAAGCAAAAGCATAAAACAAATGGCATCTTGCATGCACATTTGTCAACGCTGTATTGTAGTTATTTACTTCGAATATTTTATACGGATAAGGCGAGCGCATGCAGCACGTGTACCTACATTCCCTGCATTCTCCTTGATGCTTGGGTAATTTAGCAATAGGTATATTGCCGCTCAAGACAAAACCATAAGAATGGCACATCAAGACACATTGACTTCTTGCTACGGACCATACCAATAATTGCCTTCTATGCACTCCCATCTTTGTAAACTGGGCAGTGCAGTGCCTTCCGAGCGTGCGTAGCATCCCTTTTCTGCAGAATATTGACACGGGGCATGCGAAGCACAGTCCGGCGACTTGACTCTGCGTTGTTCGCCTGGACTATAAGCACCGGAAAGGTGTATGGGACATTCATTAAACAAATCCGATCGTTTTCGGTTCTTGCACCGATGTGCAATGCCAACCGCCAAACTTAACTGTTCCAACTCAAGGCAATTTTCTTTTTTTTTTTTTTTCTTTTTTTATGCACAGGTGGAAGAAAAGGAGCCCTCTGAAATGGAGGACTACGACCCATACAAGGTCGGCTGGGCACCCAGCTCCCAGTACGGGTCCCGCACCTCACTCAACAAGCCGGGTTACGCCTCGGGTGGCTCCACCCTCAACTCGGCGCGTTCCGTGAGCAACGGCAGCGACCACTACACCATCGTCCACTCGCGGCCCAACAGCCGGTACTCGCACCACTCCAGCAAGGAGCCGCTGCACCGTGCCGGGCCAGGCTCGCACCTGTCCAACGGGCACGGACACTACAACTCCAGGATATAGGTTCTTCAATGCCGTGGCGTCACTCCTCCTGGAGACCGAACTTTTATGCACCGCAAGCGCTTCCGTGAATCCCGGTGGGACCGTTTCCCCCGGATGCCAAAACAGGGATTGCGAAGACGGCGTGTAAAAATTAAGGACAGCTGCCCCTCGTTCGTCACGGGGTGTCGAGCGTTTTTTACGCTGAAACACCCGCACAATGTTCGCGGGAGACCTCGTGTTATTTCTGTGACGGCTGTACCGTAAAATCTTGAGAGATGCCCTACCCCCCAAAAGGTAACCTGCTCCCCATTTTTTGGCTCGATTTGCTATTTCTTTTTTGAACACCGAAAGATAGCCCACTCTTAGTAATCTTCGTGTTTGGATCAACGATGACCTCTGCGTAAATGCATCTAGTTAGCTATGGCAAGATATAAGCGAACATTGCAGACTGGGAAGTGTGGTCATGTCTGCTTCATTGCCCCTTGCCACGATAACAAGTTTGACAAAGGCACGTGGTCTAAAAATAGCATATTTTTCAACTTTTCTTGGTTGCACGCTGAAAGTTAGCCCACTCCTTATTTCACCCAATTTGCTCTCCATTTTAGGTGCGCCATCTCCCGGGATTTTACGGTAGTCCGTTGCAGGTTAAGAAAAGTCTGACAAGCTCGTCCCATAGGGCCCCCCCATTCCTCCCGCTTTAGCAGAGCGAACGCTGGAGAGGAGGAAGCAATTTCGGCGAGCAGAGAGCTTCTGTAAGAGGGGCTTGTCCCGATTTTCTTAAAACCTCAACGGACTATGGAAGCGAATGACGATGCGAGACAAGACCCGTGTTTCGTTGAGTTGAAACGAGGTTGCTCATGTGCCTTTTGGAATTTTAATGATGGTGGTCAAGTAAAGGAGGAGTTGGCTGCTGAATTCACCCGAACCAAACACACCTCGCTTGTTTCGAAACTCGCGAGGTTCGGGCTGGGGACGTCCAGGTTTGTTTGACACAGCTGGGCTACATTGGTTCGGGTTTCACTTCCTGCGCGCGACAGCGAACGTTAACAGCTCGAGAGAGCACTCGTTCGTAGATGATAGGCATTGAACTTACGTTGTAATGAAACTAACAAAGAGAGTTCTTATAGCTATTTTTTTTCTTTTAGCCCATAATTATTTGGTTGATCCAAAACGAATTTCCCCGTTTTGAACTGGTTAGTGGCCTAGCAAGAAGTGTCGCGAACTAATTGAAGAATTGTAAATATATACCGGTCACAATGCTTTTGCGATGGCAAAGTTGAGGCTTGTCGGTGGTCACGTCCTGTTGTGGAGTAAATGACGTCGGCCGCGTTGTGGCCTATTTCGTGTCTATTGTTTTCTGAGCAACATTCCGGAGGGACTAAGCCATGCTTTGTGTGCTTACATGCACATCTTGAGGTGTGTGTGCAAACACTCTTCCAATGGATCAGTGTGCAATGCATGTGTACTTTTTTTTTTATTACTCTCAATATCGTCCAGTTTCCTCCAAACACCTAGTCCATGCTCAATGCTTCAGACAAGAATGACTACTATGTATAAAAGACAGTTCTATAAAAGTATCCAGAAGAAATCGCAGCTCTGTAGTTTATATCGACGTTGTCATGACACCAGCTGCTGATATACATGGGACATGTCACAATTAAAATGGGAGAATTTGTTTTTCTTTCTTAATTTATGTATTAAGCATTACTTAAAAGTTTGCTGCAGCTGCAAATTTTTGTTATTTGTTGTGGCTTTATGTAACAGATTTTAAGCAGAACGATATGTTTCTGTGATGGAACTACATTCTTTTGTGCCCACAGTACCCAGAGCAAGATGTGTGACACATTTTGTTGACTGCCCCTCCCTTGGGACATATGTAGGCTTCTTCGAATTTTAGACACAATCAGCTGCAGTGTCTAACAAGAGAAGGGAACCTATCTGGGGAATGGGCCATATTTCTTAATTTTTATAATGTCTATATTTAAGAAACAAAGTGCCTTCAGACTGACAGATTTTAACGTGCCCCGTGACTTAATTGTTTTCGTACTGTCAGCAGACGTGTGGCATTCAGGGAATGCCAAGACGCCCGTTTTTAATATGAAGTTTTTGATATGCTATTTGTTTACTAATTACAAAGTGCCATTTGATACCATGTAATGCAGAATTATATAGGAAGAGTAGTATATTTGTGTTGTGTCTTGTAGTATCGCAGATAGAGAGACGTGAATCAAGTGAGATCATAAAAGTGATTACAAGACTATGTGCCTATACACGCATGCAACCGTACATCATATTACGAGAGTATAAATAACCAAGCAAACCCGTCCCCCTAAACTGGCTCAAAAAATGTAACCTGTGACATGGTGACAACTTTGAGCGCATATAATTTGTGTCTTCATTGGCAGATTGATCGCTGTAGCACCTCAAACTTGTCTAGAGATATGTCTTAGCGTGAAGTCGCTTTTCTGTCCTGTTGGTATAAAGTGCAGTTGTCTGATGCAAAATCTCTTCTTGCAACAAATGTGAATTTTTAAATTGAATGTACCAGTCAAAAAAATATTATGGGTTTTCCTCCCAATGTTTTACTTCTTACGCAGTGAACTAACTTGGGTAGGAAAAACAAGCACTTGCAAGTAAGAAGATCAAAACAATTTTGCCCCAAGATGGTTAGATTCTTTTGTGGCAATCTCAGAATCGGGAAATGTTCACGCTTGCCAGACCTTTCGTCTTATGCAGTGTGCCCTATGAGGCCTATGTAGGCCTCAGATGGGTCTTTGTAGGTCACATACTGCATGCTACTTGGTTTTGCACTTGTGATTCACAAACAAATCTACATGTTTTTTTTTTAATTACATTACTTTTTTTTAATAAGTACATGTCACTCATAATGCTGGATTGGAGAAATTTTCTAAGAATTATGCCTAACTAAATGGCCAATTTTTTAAATAGAAAGGCCTGGTTAAAGGCCCAATTCCACCATATATATGCAATTTTTAAGGAACCTGCTCTGGCAGCAGAAATAACTTGCAAAAACACCGGAAGAGAATGGTACACAAATGACATTGAGAGCCTGCAGTCGACAAAAGGGTATGACGGCGTCAAGAGTCATCCTACTCTTTCAGATAAGGCGTAAGTGATACAATCATAGGAAATTGAACAGACAGAAATCATAGTTGAAGGCAGATGGCATAGGACACCTCAGCCTGGTTAAACGTGTTGTCTAAAATTATATGCATCTGCTCAAAACTAATGTGCGGTTATCCTCTGCTCATAACACCATACCTAGAACTGTCATCCATGTTAGAACATTCACCGAATTCTGACACCATCCTCATGGCATAAAACATGCTTGCTGCATTGATATATAGTGTGTACATATTCACAAGCTGTACATTAAAATTTGTGTTTTTCGACGCGAGTGTTGAATGGGCTGTTGTATTTTCGTTTTTTGAATCCTTTTATTTTGGGTGCAACAAATGCTCCACACATTGGTTTTTCGGATGAATGAGAGTGATGTATGCAAGTGCAAAACAAATCACACAAACAAGTCATTTGACAAGGAAAAGGTAAGTGAGAATAACAAACTAACTTGTCTTATCTGTGGTGTTGCAATGTAGCTAAAAACCTTCTGAAGCAGGAGGTAGGACCTAAAATTGAGCAGGCTTTTAAGTTCTGGCAATACGGGAGAATTCTGCCAACTTTCCTTCGAGCTCTCCCCCTGGTAACAAATTTTTTTTAAAACATGTTACCCTTTCAGAAATGGTATCATACATCATAAAAGCCTGCAAATTACAAGAGCCAGAACTTGGGTTCAGTCCAACATCTTGGAAGGGCACTTGTGTGAGTGCCATAGCAGACAAGCAGGCAGTAAAATGTACTAGTGAAAGCATCTGAGCGTATGCTGACAGGCAGCACAGACTATTCTTATGAAATCATCGACCATGTAATTATGTTTGTTAAGGTTTGCACATACCTGAGTGGTGTTCCACAGATTTCTTAGTGCTTAACACTGGCAAAACAAAGGTTTTATCAATGTCTCATAAACGCAATATATTGTCTTACCCCTACATTTTTTAAAGGAGCTGTGCGATGATTTTAACACCATCTTCTGCTTTTGACATTGTTTATCTTGTCACAAAGAACAGAAAACACACCTCCTTCCTTCAAAATGTTGATTCCACCGTGGAATCGAGGCAAAAATTAGAATATTCCCCGACCTGCAGCCGCGAGCGGCGGCCATGAGAAACACGCGGCATGACGTCAAGGGGGGTCTTGTAGAAAGATAGAAAGTTGCACGAATACCTGTTTGATAAAAGGTAACTTTTCTATAAATCTTGTCCTTCCAACATAAATATAAATGTGTCAAACCTGGTATCATATACAAAACTTTTATTATACGGAGTTTTGGTGGCGCCATCTATCCTCAGTTCACAAAACCGTCAGCTCCATCTGCTGCTGCGAACAGCCGCCAGAAGCCGGAGGGGGAGGGGGACAGAGCAGGACAGGGATGGCCGGACTTGGATGACACTTTCCTCCTTTCACCATATTGTTTGCGCTGTGTCAGCACGTGGTCAGGCGGTCGCGAGCGGATGAGTTCTTGCTGCTCACTGATGGCTCTAGAGAGAGAACTTTACCGGAACCCCGCGCGACCCCCATTGATGTCACAGCGCGCGTGACTCGGAAGCTGGTGAAGGAGTTGAGAGGTGCCAAAAACCTCAATCTTTGTCCATTTTCAAAAATAAAAACTAGTACACGCAGGCAAAAGCGTTTTTTTGTTCTTTACTTCAGAAAGGTCGAGGCACCAACTGCCAAATTATTTAAGCAAAGCACTGAAATAGTTGCATAGCTCCTTTAAGTCGGCTGTCCTTCCAGGAGTCACCGAGATTCGCGACCTTGGGATTTATTTTGACTCGAGTTTTCTTATCATGTTTCACGGATTGCTGCCCGTGCTGTCCGAATGGTGGGTTTGCTCTATCGCTTATCATGTGACTTTACGAATTCTTCATGCGTTGTCCAGTTGTTTTCATGTCTTGTACGTGCAAAATTTGGGTTTGGTAGTGCGATATGGAATTCGCCGACTGCCACTGATCCGTCAGGGATAGAAAATGTGCAGAAACATTTTATTTGTCTTGTTTACGATAAGTACTTTGGCAGAAGGTTCTATTATAACTACGACGACATTCTTAAAAGCCTATGTTTAGAGCATTAATAGAAGCGAAGACTCTCCCCGTGATATTTTATTTTTTCAGAAAGTAATAAATGGTCACATCGACGCTCACCTTTTAGGCTCTGAATTTTCACGCATTTGCTCTATCACAAAGACATTGTTCCTGGTTCCACGCTCACATCCAAGAAATATTGTCGCCTTTAACCCACATGCAACTCTCTCTCAAACATCTAAACTCGCCATCATTGCATGTTTTTAGTGAATTTACATCTTTCAAGTGTAATTTTGATTATGCACTGCACAATGTTTAGGACACATATCTCAATCAGAAACTGTCGATTCTTTTTTTTTTTTACAGCGGTAGCTGTTAGTGCCCTTTCTTGGCAAAAAATGCTCACATACGAACACAAAACCCCACTCTACTGCAGCTCTCCTCTCCCTGTCATTCCTCACACACGCACACTCCTCCCCCCCCTTTCCCACCCCTCCTGCCTCCTCTGTTCCGAAAAACCCACATGATCACGGGGAGAGCGCTCTTCTCCTCCCCATTGTTCCTGCTACATCCACATACCCTCCCAAAACACCCTCTCTTCTCCCTCTCCATTCCTTCTCCCCCTCCTCCTCCATCACCACCTTCCCAGCAGCCACTGTTGCGAAACAACCTTGTGGTCGAGCCGTGCGGACATGCTCCCTCGCCTCCCCACACCTCTACAGAAAAGTTTGGGTACATACTTCCGCCTCTCCGTCACGAGCACGCCCGTCCTAAAAGAATTTTTCAGTAGAAAAAAAAAAAGCACGTTGCTGTGTCCTTTTCTGACACATGCAACATTTCCCAATCATTCCACCAAAGCACACATCTCCCACATGTCTCCTACATCCATGCCAATGAAAGCAAAGAACCCATTGCAAACATTGTACAGCACACTGGCTGAAGGTAAATATTCTTCAACATGTTGTTTCGTAATGCAGCAGCTACCGCTGTCAATCGTACCACATTTTCTGTGGTCGTTTTTTAATCAAATCTTCTATATTTGTGTTACCACACTAAAATCTCACGGTTTTTCAGGGGAGCTAAGGAAATAAACAATTACTATTATTATTATTATTATTATTATTATTATCAAGGGCTGACGAGCAACCAGACAGGAGAAAACTTTCCCTCAATTCCTTCTTTCAATTCGAGAAAGAGGGAGACCCTCCTTTTTTTTGTTGAAAGTAGCTCGGAGACCTGTTCCTATAGGGGTATCCACACGAAGGAGAAATTTGCCCTTTCCTCCGCGGAGCGCGCATCACGTGAGACATACGTCATCCCTTTTTGACGCCTCGTGGCACCGTTCTCTCCTTCTCCTCCGTGGCGGAGGCGCGGAGGCTTCGTACTCTTAGCATGAGAACTCCGCAAGTGCGCGCGGCGGAGCCGGGGACGGTGTTTCCCGGGTTGTTGACGTCACGACATCCGTCCGCGGAGTTCTCCTTCGTGTGGATACCCCTTATGGAGGAGAGAACGAGGAGAGAACAAAAGGGAATGGAGAGGGAAACTGGGAACCAATTTTCTTCCCGGCAGAAGACAATTCTGAAGGTCGGCCAATAAGCATAACTTGACAAAGGGAAAGCCACAGCCACCGTGAGCCAATCGGAGCAACAAAGCAAAGCAATCAACAGATCTCCAGAAAAGGAGCATACTTCGATGGTCAAAGCAGACTCTAATTGGTGCGCTGGAGTCGCAGATTTTGCTGTTCACCAAGTCATGCTGAACCGTACTACAGCCGCAGGCAATGTTCTGGCCTCAGAAGTGCTACATCAAAACACTGCAGGAGACAGGATGGCAGCCGCAACCAGAAACGGTGAGAAAAAAGTGAAAAGGACGGCCATTGATCATTCAAAAGACGTCTCTACTCCAGCAGGAGGAGCCACCAATGTTGAGGTACTCTACATCAAGAGACTTATGTACTACATGCACCAGGCACATAGCTAGGATTTTGTTTCAGGGAGGGAGGGGAGGGGGGGGGGGGGGGGGGGGGGGGGGGGCCACTCATGACAAAATGCTGTATGAGGGGGAGGGGGGAGAGGAGGTTCCAGCAAAATGGAAGTTTTCGGGGGGGGGGGGGGGGGCTTGGGCCTTATGGGCCTCCCCCCTGGCTATGTGCCTGACATGCACGCTTCTAAAGACAGTGTATATGGAATATAGTGCAATTCCTTCCCTCTGTCGAAGAGGACAATTCTTACCCAGCATGTGGACACCACTGGATTCGGCAAGTCGCTGGCCCGTAATCATACAACACAGCAAGCATCAGCTGGATAAAACTTGCTCTTGGAGTATGTGAGTGACACTTGTGTTTTCTGATGTGAGAAATCTTTCATGCTTGCACCTTTATCCAAGTTCCAGTGTATGAGGATGTCTTGAACAAAAATGCAATTGTAGATGGGGCAGCTGCCGTCGCCTGTATTCGCGAACAAGTGTTTGCAACTTGCGCTGAACGCAAATCATTTAGAGGAAGGCACAACCCAGTAATACTGACTATTTAGGACACTGACACACACCGTGCATTCAAAGCTTTCAGTTGGTGTCTTTATCCCACCATAAAGACACTAAAAAAGAGTCGAGACAAGCTAGACAGCTCGCAGGCAGCACGAGCAAGAGATGCCACACACTACTGCCGTCGTTGACCTAAGCCTCTCTACATGCCGACAAAATGTTTACAAACAACCCAAGTGTGGGCACTGCACGTGCAAAGATAACAGATTTGCACGGAAAGCACCTGTGCATGCGCTGTGCTGACGGCAGCGCCACTGCGGCCACGCGACGTCATAGCCATGCATTGGTCTATAGACCAAACCGTCTGCTGCGTGAAATAATAACAGATGCAACAACTCACCACTAACGGCTTTCTTGCTCCTATCTCTGGGAGGCCCCCTCTTCTTTGGAAAAATGCGGTGCGAAAAAATGGATGGAACAGCATATGGCTTCAATTTCTTGACTCCAGTCTTTTTCAGAATCATCTGCTCAAACTGATCATCCGTGAAGTGATCCTGAAAAGTGTCAACATCCTGTCAATGTTGGCATCCCAGACTTTCTTTGGTCCTGTCATTTGTTAAAGGGCTACTCCACCGATTTTTTCAATTTCTCCGATTTGCTTGAAATTTTGCTAAACTAACCAACAAACATCACGAAAATAGTATCCCAAATATTAGGTCAAAATATTGTTTTTTCGCGAAGTTATTGAATTTAGAGTTTTGGTCGTCACCGTGTTTTTCAAGCTCGAAGTCTCTACTGGCAACAATGAAAAGGTGACGTCAGTAGAAGGCAGGGGTTCACTCTTTGAGCTGTAGATTTTGTTTTAAACTGATTCGAAGCAGTTTCATGGTGTCAAATGAATGCTTGGGAAGCTCGCTGCAGTACCCGCGCTCCAGCGCGGAACAAATGATTGACATATTCTATTTTTTGGCTGCTTGCTCGACTGGCAAGCCTGCCTGCCACTGACGTCACGGCCCTGAAAAGCGCGCGTATATTTGAATGTTGGTTTTTGCATCATTTTCATCTGCCGATTTCGCAATAACTACCCTATTATGAATTTCGCGATTCTAAATAGCATACCGGAGAGAGTACAGGCCGGGGAGTCAGAAAATATAGTTAGTTGAGGTAGCTCAAAAAATCAGTGGAGTATCCCTTTAAAAGCAGATTGTGTCGACAGACATGCTGCATAGCAGCACCCGACACAGTGGCTTGAGGTCTGTTCGAGGAAGCTGAAGTGTAAACATAGCACTAAATTGTCTCTCCATTGTTTCTAATAAGAACTCCAGCATGCTCAGTTCACATGTATCTGCATTCGTTGGTGGCTCGCATTATACTGACATAGTTTGCACGCAACCAGAATTTTCTTGGGTGGCACGTGCTGCTCGCCTTTTCAACATTGTCTTCGTTAGCAAATATGCACGACCACATGCGAACAACGAAGATTTGAAGTTTTTGTTGAAACCATTAATTTCACGCTATATTTGTTTTAATGCCAACTACTCCTCAAACAAACCTCAGTCATAGCCTCCTGTATACTGATAAGGGCTGCCCGACCACAGTTTGCCGGCTATCACCACGAAGATGTGAACGACGTGAATAAGTGTCTCTCATGCGTTCTTCCATGCTTGGTGCACATGTTGGCATTTGCAGTGTTGTGTTGTAAGCAGCATTATGCTGTAATGTCATGTGCCCGTGCACAACTCAGACTTGCGGAAAAAGAGGCCGGGGCTGTTGTTCACCCTCTTCATACATCCTGCTAAGGCTTCGCTGAAAGACATGCTAGGCTCAGGCCTCCACGACCTCAATGCTGGACCAGCCCATGTCCGTTTCTTCGGCTCGTACAGTGCTGGTTGGCTGGCTCACAGTGTTGACCTCCCCATTTCTCTCCATCGTACCTGACAACTGGCACGGTGTCATTATGAAAAGTGAGCCCTGGCACAGCTACCACCTTGAACAATGCCCAGGTTATCCAACGCAGTTATGACCCAAGAGGACCCTATAGTCGTCACAATTTCCATGCAACTTTTGATTTCTGTATGAAACTTGGCCCTAACAATAAAAGCTTTCAGTGTTGGCTGGTTTCATTCTACATTGAAAAAGTTCACCAGCTTGTCTGCCTCTTCTGTTATCTAATTCACTTGCAACATCACATCAACTTTTGTAAACTTTACATGTGTGGCAGCTAACTAGCTAAGTATAGGTTACAGAAGTGCAAAAAACACGTACGTAACGGAAGCAGCAGTGTGCAGCGGATAAATCGTGTGTGTGTGTGTGGGGGGGGGGGGGGGGGGAGGGGGGGGGGGTTGCCGGTGTTTATGTGAAGCAGGCGCAACGGCGCCAAAGCAGCCAAAGCACGGGTGAGCAAGACATTGGGCATGCAGAGCGGTTTACCTCACAAAGCCTCCATGCTCGAGCCTCGAGACCTTTCCGACCGATCCGATGCAGCCATTCTTTTCGCCTCTCGATATTTTGTTCACCGCACGGTACGGAGAAAAGCCTCTTTCCTTTCACAGCGCTGCTAGTGCAGTTGACTGCACAGCAACTCGGCATTGCGGTGCTGCCTAGGTAGCGTTATGAAACAGAAAATTAAGCTAAAGACTTACTGCATACAACGGTGCAGCCGACACTCCTTGCTCAATCATGGCGTCAGATCGGTCATGGATGGATGGATGGATAGATGAATATTGGCTGTTCCCTTTGTAACGGGCGGCAGGTTGCGCCGCCTAGCCTAGTTTAGTTCAGCTTAAAAGTTTTACACTAAATTTTGTCCCTTGTTAATAAAAATAAATCCCAAATTTCGTGTAATATCACATTTCTCTATACCTCTTTGTTGTTTTTATAATCTTTTCGTCCATTCCTCCATCCCCATCCACCAGACCCAGTGCTTCCGCAAAATCTGTCCCCTCCAGCAGGTGGGCGGGATCTCCTCACTATGGCATACCGTACATAATATGTTAGAATCTGAAAATTTTGCCCTATGTGTCATAGTTCTCAGAACCCCTGTCCTTTCCTCAAACAACAAAGCACTCCCGTGCGAGTTATCAAATATATTTTCTTGGCATCCTCTCCTTCCACATTTTCCACTCGGTATCCTTTGCGCCCTTTTGTACTGTGCAGTTTCGCTCTCTCCCATGATTAGTTTCTAGGTGTATAAACTTTAGCTTTTGCGTTCGATTTGTCTACTCTGTGTTCAAGCTCTTCATATATAAATACGTGCACACCATTCCCGCCCACCGCGTATCCTCATTTCATCTAGCCTTTGCTCGAATTTCAGTTTACTGATAGCTTCTCTAGCCTCAAATGATGACCAGCCCATATCCCCCCGTACGGTGTACCCCCTCAACCCCCTCAAATGGTGTGCCCCCATGTGTGCCCAGTGCCAACCTGCGCACTTCTTCGGTTACTGGTCTGCAGATCCGACCGATCCGACAGATCAGTCAAAATCGCGGCCTTGTGTGTGCTCATGGGAAGGCTCAAATGCGCTTGGTCACGTGCTGTTGTTGTGTTGTCCGGTTGTTGCCTTTTGCGGCGGGTGGTGCCACGGGTTTGCGAGTTCATCGGGCATAGAGCACGCAGCACACTAGACTAGTGCACACCGGCGGTGCATATCTGGTGACTGGTGCTTTAATAAGGCTGAAAGCTGGACTAATTGAAAGATTTTTTTTTTTTTTATATAGGGGATTTTTGGTGGCTCATGCCCTAGAGGTCCTGCCCAGAATGATAGATAGATAGATAGATATTTATTTGTACATTTAAGTACAGGTCGCATAGAAGGCGTTTCCGCCCGTACACATATGTGCCTATGTGGCCAGCTAGACGATGATGGCGATGCGAGGCTTCTTGGCTTGAGAAGTGTGGGACGATGATGATGGGATGGTGAAGAGGGTGAAAAGTGAGGTGGGTGACGTATGATGAGGTATGCAAGACATCGTGGGTGTTTAGAGGTGTTTGGCTGCTGCCTTGCAGAACTGTGTCACCTCGTCTCTGTCTGTGATGGGCAAGCTGGTGATGGCGTCAGGCAGGGACCTCCAAAGTCTCACAGCCCGGAGGAGACATGAGTTGTCGTGCCGTTGGGTCCGAGCGAAGAGAGGGTCTATGCGCCCGGTTCGTTCGTTGCGACGGGGCACAGAGCGAAGGTAGTCGTCCTGCGAAATCCCAGGACCAATCACCTGCCCAGAAGGAGGGAATGAAAGAAGTAAAAATAGCACCATGTAACGCATGACGTCAAAAATAAAAGTGAGGAAGTAGTAATATTTTATATTTATTGTGGTGTCCTTCGAATATCACAAAGCAAAATTGCGTTTAAAAAGGTAATTTTTATTTTTGTAAAAACTCACGTATAGATGGCGCAGGCTACACACCATCTCAACCAATCAACGGGGTTGATTGATTATCTGCCTGCAAACATAAACTTGGCAAGCGTCGTCGGTCAAAATGGCGGAATCCGTGGTGGACGGGTCCGTTCCCGTCGTGATAAGTAACGGCAACGCGGCGACTCCCGCGCCCGCCCCGACTCCCGATTCGGTCACGTCCGAAAAGGACGAAGACAGCGAGCTCAACCTGGATAAGAACTCTCTGCTGGCTGTCCTGAAGTTCCTCAAAAAGAACAAGCTCCAGGAGACCGAGCTCATACTCCGCAAAGAAGCCAAGATCCTCGGAGACAACAACCTTCAAGAGGACGTGCAGGCGAGTTCGGACGTGAGTAGCGTCCTCTCGACGTACAAAAGCGAAGGCGACCCGGACATCTACGAAGACACGTACACGGTGTTTAAGCGCTTCGTTGAATCGTCGCTGGACTCGTACCGCCACGAACTCGCCATGATCCTCTACCCGGCTTTCGTTCACATGTACCTGGAGCTGGTCTACAACGAGCACGAGGAACAGGCCGTCAAGTTCATGGAACGCTTCGGGCCCGAGCAGGAAGAGTACTACCAGGAGGACGTCAAACGCCTCTCGTGCCTCACCAAGAAAGATCACATGAAGGGTAACGAGTTCATGGACAACTTCCGATCGGGACAGTTTACAGTTCGAATGTCCCGCGACACGTACAACTTCCTCAAGCGGCACCTCCAGGACAAGAAGAACACTGTCCTTCAAAATATTATCCAGGAACACCTGTACCTCGATGTCTACGAAGGAATCGCGCGGATGAAACCCCAGCTTGACGCTACGGCCGGTGCGTTCCTGGGGGAGGCGGCTCGGCAAGCGAATAAGGTCAAAGTCTACTACGGGCTCCTCAAAGAACCCGAACTACATATTCCGCTCGACGAAGACGACGACGGCGGTGACGGAGAGGACAAGCCGAAGAAAAAGAAGCCCAAAAAGGACCCTCTTCTGTCTAAGAAGGCGCGCAACGACCCCAACGCGCCCCCCAACAATCGGATTCCCTTGCCCGAGCTCAGGGACGCTGACAAGTTGGACAAGATCAGCGCCATGAAGGAGGCCATCAAGAGGGTCAAGCTGGGCCCGGACAGTCTCCCTTCCATCTGCTTCTATACTTTTCTCAACAGCCACTTGGGGGTTACGGTGGCCGAGATATCGGAGGACAGTACCCTTCTTGCGGCAGGGTTTGGGGACTCTCTGATAAGGGTGTGGAGCCTGACCCCTAACAAACTGAAGGGGATGAAGTCTGCGCACGACCTGGAGACAATTGACAAGGAAGCGGATGACGTCCTGTACAGGTGTGCTATGAACTTTGTGGTTCAAGGTGGCTGTGAGAGATCAATCCAGTGGTCTACCTGCAGAAATTTCAAAGTGAAGATCAGTTCCTATTAGAAAATAAGCATGAAATCTTTTAAAAATGGGAATGGCAGGCGGAGACACAGATCAGAAATCACTATATTTACAGGTGGCATGACCTGCATCCCACCTTTGTCTAATTCTGTCAATCTAAGCAAAGTGGTATTCACTGGATGCTGCAGTTGAGCATGGTGTTCACAGTGCAGGCTCAGAATGAGCCCCCACTTATCTTCTGAGAAGAACTAGAATCTTGGTGGTGTGCGATGCATGTTGTGAAAGTGAGTCAATGTTGCAGAAGTGTTGTGGAAGTTCATCGTAAGCTCGTGGTAAGTGGCACCATACTCAACTATGGTCGCCAGTCAACGCCACCTATTGGGGGTAGCACCTAACACAAGTTCTATTCAGGGGTGTAGCCAGGAGTTTTTTCTTTTTCCATGGGTGGCCAGTGTGACTAGCATTTCTATGACTTGGAGGGGAAGAGAAAAGAAGGGGGATGCCGTCCTCTTCTTTAAAATGCCTTCATGCCTTGAATGACTAAAGTACATCTTTGGTAAAAATTGCACCTCTTTATGTGCAGGTGTCAAGTTTTATGGCTCGCTTTGAACGCTCCTGCATTCAAGGCGAGCCGTCCTATATTTTACCTTTCATAACTCGTTCAATGACCATTGTGCGAGACGCTGTCCCACTCTCTGACCTCGAGAACCTCTGTCTGCGTTAAAAAACACCGGACACCTTGATACCCTTGCAGTAAAACACTTCATAAGCATGCATACTTGGCCAACATGTGCACACACACACTCTCCGGAAAGCATTTCCTGTAAAGGCGCACATGCACATTTAACTCCCGAATTTTCCTTCTTTCTTAATGGCTGCAGGTGTCCCCTGGGTGATGCTCGCATACTTTGTGGATTATCATTACCTAAAGGCGCTTCTTCCTTTAACTTTAGTGTATGTAAACAGAGGAGGCTAAGATTTTCAGCCCTGGGCAAACCACCATGGGCTGCGGTTTGAGGGCAGAGACGACCGGGGAAACCCTGGCAAACTTCTAAATCTTAATCCTAGCATATCCCACACTGCTTGGGGACAGTTAGAAAAATGCAGAGGGGGAGCAAATAGACGGATCACACAGCCAGTTTTATTACGCCACCGCTGCCGCCATGCATCCTGGGGGATGTAGTCTTTCTGCACGCGCGACAACCCCGCTGCCTGCGCGAGCAGAGCACGAGGCGGTACGAGCTGCCTCGTGAACTGGCGCCTGCCTTCTATGAAGTACAGTGATGGCGGCGTCATGCATGCGTGGAACGCTTAGTGGGATCGGTCTATTGTCTTAGAAGGGCGAGGGGACGAATCATGCTTTTGTTTTTCTAGGCTAGGTGGTGCAAGCTAACCTCCGTTATGACGTGTACAGCCATTGGCATCCATCCGTCCTTTTCGCTCACCCCAGAGCCACTAAATAAGCTGCACTTAGCAATACCGGCACTTCACCCATCTTGTCGTTTAAAATCACTATTGCCAGTTATCTGGTATAACAGACACACTCTTGCGTCCTCCAGAAATGTCGAAACAGTCCGCGACGGAGCGAGACGACATCGCCCAAGCTTCTTGTCACTGTATCTGAAGCACAGAAAGTTGCGCTTTCATGTCGTAACTGTCTCCAGTTGCACCCGCTTTGCACTAGGCCACAAAATGGCAGCACCCACGAGACAATCGAGGAATGTATGTTGATACTGTAAATTCGAGTTCTCACATACAGTGCGGCGCCAACTCGGCTCTGTGGGCACCGCACCGACTTTGTGCTACATCAGCTACCCGCTGCTTCTGACGGCCCTTTTTCTGTCTCTGCATCCAGGCGTGCAGTGCTGGCTTAGTGCCGACACTGGCGCTTTTTCCTAGATGAAACCTGCATCCGCGTCCTATTTTCAGGATGATGGACGAGCGCAGCGGCGTGGAGATGCGTGTCCTGATGGGCCACAGCGGCCCGGTGACGGCGGTCAGCTTTAGCCCCGACCACACATACCTCCTGTCCTCTTCCGAGGACTCCACCATTCGGCTCTGGAGCCTGCTGACGTGGACGAACGTCGTGTGCTACAAGGGCCACTGCTTCCCCATCTGGGACGTCAAGTTTAGCCCGCACGGCTTCTACTTCGCTTCGTGTGGTCACGACCGGACGGCCCGGTTGTGGTCGACGGACTCCTATCAGCCCCTACGAATCTTTTCTGGTGAGTGGTGGTCCCGGATTTATATGTTGGACTCACTTAAAAGGAAGCTGAAGAAGTCCTTGCATTCGAACGAACAGTAAAAGTCGTAATGCAGACTCCTTAAAAATGATGTCTTAAGTTTTCTTTTGATCTCAATCATAGGAGCTTCGTAATACCCAATTATAATTTCAACGTAGACCTGTCCATTGCAGCACGCTGAGAGTAGGAAAGCGCGAGGGCAGAGATGAAAACTGGCAAAAGTGATGTCATCAGCGGTATCGGATGACCCTTGTGCGGCACTAAGCTGGCTTGAAGATGCCGTCGATGATATCATGCTCTGGACAGATAACAAGCGGCAGGGAAGATCGCCTCATACCCGGCCGCAATCGCTGCACATATTTTTCAATATAAATGTGGCTTACTTTTACTTTTTCCCAAGATATGTGCAACAACTGAATTCACGGGACAAACAACTATAGAAGTCTGTTCTTAATACAGTCAAACCCGACTATATCGAACCCGTTTACACCGAATTATCGCTTATATCGAACAATTATTGTACACAGTAATGTTACAGTGATAATATATAGGAAAAACTACGGTTACATCGAACAAAAATTGCAGCCGCTACCGATATATGGAACTGCCAAGAGCGCCGTTTTGCTCTGCAAACTGGCTTTCCCCCAACGCGAGCAGCCGCATTGGGGGAAAACCAACTTGCAAAAACCGCTCAAAATATATTTTTTTTTTTGGGGGGGGGGGAGGGGGAGGGGGAGGGGAGAGGAGATGGGAGGGGCAGCTGTGTTGATTGTTTGGAAGAAGAAAAAAATCTCTTCTGCGGAGAGAGAGCGGGGGGAGGGTGCCTCCATCCTTTCTCTCCCTGGTCCGTATTATTTTTTCTTCCGGGCGGTTCACGCAGCCGCCCGGAAAAAGAAAAAGCCAGCTTGCTCTGCTAGCTGGCTTTCCCCCAACGCAGCCGCGTGCCTTAGGGGAAAGCCAACTTGCAGAGAAAAAAAAATGAAAGCCGTTTACAACTCCCTGTGACGCCGGATTAGAGCGCAGCTCTTGAAGAGGAGGATGGAAGGGTGCTGAGGGATAGGATGGAAGGCTACTGTGGGATAGTTAACTCCCTGAGTTCACGTGACCTCAAGGGGGTCACTTGACATCAGGGGGTTACGTGACCTCAAGGTGGTCACGCGACCTCAGGGGTCACGTGACCTCAGGGGGTAACCGTCATGACCCTCGTGAGGGTAACCCTCGTGACCCTCGTGAGGGCAACAATCGTGACCCTCGTGAGGGTTACCTTCGTGAGGGTCACGAGGGTTACTTATCCTTTTGAGGGTAACTAACCCTCGTGAGGATTACGAGGGTTACCACGGTTACTCTCACGAGAGTCACGAGGGTAACCCTCGTGATCCTCGTGAGGGTAACCCTCGTGAGAGTAACCTTCATAACCCTCATGAGGGTTATGTGCTGTTACGCCGACGGCAACGCTGACGCCGCTCAAGCCGGAAACGGGTTCCTAAGAGTTGTGCTCTGAAACGGCGCTCTGCAGGAGAAGGTTGTCCTGCTCGGGCTAGAGTGCCTTCATGTTCGGGACATGAAGGCACCCAGCTCGGACATGCTCCGTGCTCTCGGCATAGTTCAGCGCTAATTCACGAATATAGAAGACAGTGGCCTCAGCACTTTGGTGTCCGCCGAAAGAGTAGAAAAATATTGTTATCGCGGATGCAATGAAGAAAAAGCAGCAAAAGATGCAAGACTATTTCATTGTGTAATATGTCACCAGAAAGCTGATTTTTGAGAGTCAAATTCATTAAAACGTTTATATCGAACTGGTAGACGTTTTTTTCCGAGTTCGATATAAACGGGTTTGACTGTACAAATTTCTTGAAAAGTGCTTTAGCTTCCCTTAAAAGGGCACCTGTGGTCAATTCTCAAAATTCTAGGATTAGGGGTGATTATTGTGTAAAAACTACTAATAAACGGTTCTGTGTCATTAGTTTTCCAAAATATTAAATAGTTTTCTTGCAAACCTCGTTTAAACTAAAATCACAGAGTGAAACCGAAACCTTGCTGGCGGCAGGTAACATTGGTCCTGCTCGTCAACTACTGGGCATCACTTGCTACGGAGACGTCGACAATGCCATCAACAAAAGTGTCAGAGGGGCACCTTGCATTCTCTTTTTTTTTTCTCGCCCTCTCACTCCGTGCCTCGGAAAGTAAGAAGCAAACAAAACCATTCTTCCAGTTGTTGATGTTCAGCAGAGTGTTCAGCAGCGTTGACTGCACTGCTCCGCACACCACGCGTTGCCCGCTAGATTGGGTCGATTTTGGTGACCGTGGAGCTGCTCTGACTACGTTGGCCAATTTCATAAACTTTAAGGCGGAATTGCGTTGTAATTTTTTACGTGCATGCATTTCAGATGATGCAACGTAGGACTGCGTTGTTCTCTCAATGTCAAAATTTGACCAGAGTTTCCCCTTAAAGGGGCCCTGCAAGGACTTTTTTACTGGTTTTTAATTTGCACTGAACCTGAGCGCTCGGAACATAGTAACTCAGTGAAAATTTTCTTTTCTCGAAATTCGATTTATTTTAGAAGTTATAGGCAAATTAAAACTACAAGGACAAGCAAAAAATAACCTCCCTCATGACGTCTTTGGTTGCTTGAGTGGCCGTGAACTAGAGGAGGGGTAGTGGGCTCATCGCGAGCGCTCAGGGCTGCCGCACTCCGTGTCGATGGCGCGAGAGGGCGCCACTAAAGCATGTTCTGGATAGGCTGTACGCAGTGGGCAGCCAGAGCGGCTCTCACCGCACTTGCTGCGCGATTAAACACTAATTCGGCATGACACTTCATTGGTCACAAACGACAGCAAACACGGGGTAAAGATCAGTTCAGAATGGGAGCCACTTCGAGCTGCCATACCGCGAAACGGCCGAACCGCAAGACAAAGCTTTTCGCCGAAGATACCGAAGGCCTTCGGAACGCTCGGAGCTGGTCGGATCTTCCTGTTGCTATGATCGCAGCGCCGACGCGTACATTCTTGACCTTTCCGTGTCGGCGCCTGATCCCACTTCTCCTTTCTAGTATGCACCGCCTTTTCCGCAGCTTGGTGGCGGGCAAGTCGACGGGTCATTTCTTGTTTTCGTACTTTATAAACTGCACTTGTTTCTTTTCTGATCTAAAATACTGAACAAAAACTACTTTTATAAATAATTGAAACGGTTCGGTGCCACTTATATTTTGTATTTCGACTAAAAAGAAGTTTTTGGCGGCTCTGACCAGTAGTAAGCCCAGGACCAAAGACGTCACATTTTGCGCGCTTTCGGTACCGCGAGTCGCCCTCGTCAGTGGAGGAGGTTTCCGCGTCGTCCGATTAAAATATGACGCACTGATATTTAGTTACTCTCTCCGTGCCCACTGGCTTGCCTGAACTTCAAGAGATGTGAAAACCGCAAAAAAGGTAGACGCTTAAATATGATTGCAGGGCCCCTTTAAACAAGCTGTGCAACAATTTTAACATTGAAAGAATTTGCATCTTCTACTTTGAACATTGTCTATCCTGTCACAAAGGACAGAAAGCACATCTCCTTCCTTCGAAATGTTGGAATTCCGCCGCGTAATCGCAAGGCAAGAATAGAAGATATCCCAACCGGCAGCTGCGAGCGGCTGCCATGAAAACCACGCGGCATGACGTCGATGGAGGACTTGTAAAAAGATAGCCAGTTGTGCAAATACCTGCTCGATAAAAGGTAATTTTCTATAAATCTTGTCGTTCGAACATAAACATAAATGTGTCAAAAACCTAGTATAATCGACAAAACTTTTATTGTACGGAGTTCTATTTGTGCCATTTATCCGAGGTCAACAAAACTGTCAGCTCTATCTGCTACCGCGAACAGCTTCCAGAAGCCGGAGGGGGAGGGGGGCAGAGCCGGGTGGGAATGGCCGAACCCGGATGTTGGTACTTTCCTCCTTTCGCCACGTTGATCATGCTGTGCAAGCATGTGGTCGCGAGCGGGTGAGTTCTCGCTGCTCACTGATGGCTCTAGAGAGAGAGCTTCACAGGAAACCCACATATCCCCCTTTCACGTCACAACGCACGTGACTCGGAAGATGGTGAAGGAGTTAAGTGCCGAAAACCTCAATCTTTGTCAATTTTTAAAATAAAAACTGGGACATGCAGTCAAAAGTGGTTTTTTGTTCTTTACTTCAAAAAGGTCGAGGCACCAACTCCCAAATTATTTAAGCAAAGCACTGAAATTGTTGCACAGCTCCTTTAAAGGGTTTTCACTCAGGAAATGGCTTTCAGCAAGGGATGTGCATGATGTCAGTGATTGGCGGAACCAACGGTTCTCTCTCCCCGACTCAAGTATTCACATGAATGGCAGGGAGCCGAGAGGGATGTTAATGTTATCAGGCGCATCTAGCGGCCATACTCTTTTGACAACAGGGTTTGGTGCGAGCTGACAAGAGTAGAAAATAGGTAGCATACATGAAACAGAGATACCCGATTATGGCAGCAGCAGTCTTAGATGCAGAAGACGACAAACTGCTTCCTGCTGAAATAAATATGCTTCTTGAATGGGGGGATGCAACACAAGGAATGTGAAATCAAAAATCATTTGCATGAGGAGCAGCTCGAGGACAGCACTGATGAATATCAAAGACTCCTTCGGGTGCCTCGGACAACATGTGCAACAGCGCGGGTCACAACAAGTTCGGCAATCCTGATGCCACCACTGGTATCTCGCTGAGCAAAATCTGGAAAGTTGCCAGACATGCAAACAAAATACTGCCAATTGCGAAGAGGCGGGGAGGGGAGTGTTTGTGCAGCCGGAGCAAAAGCTCCCTTGTCTACCTGGAATGTCTACGTCAATGCGGTTCTGCTCCTAAACGTGACGTTGTTGCCATGTGATGCACGTCTCGGCAAGTGAAGGAAGGGATTTCTCCCTCACATGAATGCCCCTTTACTGACAGCACAGTTCCTAGATGTCCCTTGTGTCTGCTCTTGGTCTCGGGTGAGAGCTAGGCCTTTGTTAAGTGCTGATTGAATGTGGTGTCACAGCACCTTGCTCTGTAAGCATTATTGACCAATAAGAAAATGTTGGATCTGTTTGCGAGTTCACGATTGTCCAATATTTTCGCGAGAACTTTTCACAACTCCCAAGTGGCGAGAGGTCTCGCAGCCTCTGAAGTACCCCTGCCAAGCATTTCTTTATCCACTGGTGAATTGCAGCTTGTGTGCGAGAAGCCTGGAGTTAAATTTCGGGCAAGGGACATTGTGTTTTTTTGGGTACCGAGAGAATCTGTGTGATTCTAATGGGTAGGCCCATAAAGACATTCTTTCGGAAAAGGCATCTGAAACGTGATGCCGGCACAGTTACTATGGTCACTGATGGAATGAAAATGGCAGAGCGTGTCTTTAGAATGCCTGACCTCCAACACGCTCTCCTCGCCCTCATTTGTGCTTTGCCGTGCGTGCGCACTCGACGTGCACGAAACGTCAAAGCGTTGTTGAAGGTAGGAAGCTCGCACTTGAGACTGGACGACTGAAGTGTCTGTGTGCTGTCCTTATCTTTTCGTTGACCGTAGATACACGTATGGCATTACTTTGTTCTGCAAACAATCACTGCAGTCACATCCACCGTCCTCGCTTCTGCAGGTCACGTCTCCGACATTGACTGCATCCAGTTCCACCACAACTCTAACTACGTGGCGACCGGGTCGAGCGACCGGACGGTGCGCCTCTGGGATGTCCTGACAGGCAGCTGCGTCCGCTACATGACGGGCCACAAGGGCCGCATCTACTGCCTCCAGTTTAGCAACGACGGTCGCTTCCTCACGTCGGGTGGTGCCGACTGCAAGATCCTCCTCTGGGACGTGGCCCATGGGCACCTCCTGGCCGAACTTGCAGGGCACACAGACACCATCTACTGCCTCTGCTTCAGTCGAGACGCGACGCTCCTGGCATCCGGAGGCATCGACAACTGCATCAAGCTCTGGGACTTCACCAGGCTCCTGGACGAGATTGACCTGGAAGAACTCAACATCTCACACGCGCCCACCGTCCGGACCAACTCGGACGGTCTGCTGCTCGGCTCGTACCCAACCAAGGCGACCTCAGTGCTGGCGTTGCACTTCACGAGACGGAACTTGCTGCTGGCTTCGGGGATGTACCAGAGTGGGTCTTGAGTGTGTGAGCATGAAACCTCATCTAAGAGTGATCTCCGAGACGAACTGGCTGAGGGCCGGGCACATCGGTTACCGGCTACACTTCGTTGGCTTTCAGTCTGACAGTTCAGTGAAGGCTAGTAGTTTGGAACACTTGCCTTGCAGCTGGCCATTGCATAAATGGTCGTGCAGTGATAGATTTTTTTGGAAGCTAAGGCTTGATGCCCCCAGCTCTCTTGGACTGGGTCTTGTTGTCTAAGAGTGATTTGTGAGGTGAACTGGCTGGGGTGTGAAATATGTGTTACCAGAGGCACGTGGCTACGCTTTGTTCACCTTCAGACTGACAATTGAGTGAAGGCTAGGGTTTTATGGGACTTGCTTTGCAGCCTGCAGCACTCCATTGCACAAATAGTCATGCAGTGGAAGTTTTTTTTTTCTTTTCTTAAAGCTATGGCTTAGTACCTCCAGCTCTCTTGGCACACTGTCTTGTTGTCTAAAAGTGATCTGCAAGATAAGCTGGCTTGCATGCAGACACGTCTGCAATCAGAGATGCATGACTGTGCCTTGTTGGACTTCAGACTAACAATTCAGCAAAAGCTAGGGGTCTGGGCCACTTGCAGCCATCCATTGCATAAATTGTCATGCAGTGATAGTTTCATTCGAAGCTATGGCTAGGTACCTCCAGCTCTCTTGAACAGTTTCTTGTTGTCTAAGAGTGATCTGCGAGATGATCTGGCTAAGGTGCAGGCATATGCGTTATCAGAAAGGCATTGCCACACTTCATTGACTTTCAGACTGACAATTCAACGAACGCTAGGGGCCTGGGCCGCTTGCCTCGCAGCCATCCATTGCACAAATGGTTGTACAGTGAAAAGTTCCTTTGGAAGCTCTTGCTTGGCATCTCCAGCTCTTAGCACAATGTCTTGTCTGTGAGATGAACTGACTTGGACATGGGTACATTTCTTACCAGGGAGGCATAAGCATGCTTTGTCAGTCATCAGACTGTCAATGCAGGGATGGCTCTGGGTGCAGGCTATACTTGCTTAGCAGGTACATGCTTTCCAACTGCTCGAGCAGTGGAAGTTTCTTTGGAAGCTATGGCTTTGTACCTGCAGCTCTCTCTGAACTGTCAGTTTAAGTGTAAATGGGGAACCAGCTGCCCTGCAGTAGGGTTTCTTTGACTTCACCACAAGCGTTTGTTACTGCAAGCTGTCACGAGCTTATGCCCTGTTTGGGAGGATGGCTTGCAATGCAATATTCTGAGGTGTTCTTCATTTGTACATAGGCTCATTATTTATCACCCTTTTATATTTAATAAAGTTGTGCCAACCTTTCGAAGTGCCTTTAATGTTGTTACCCCATCTGGAGCAGTTTACAGGGGCGTTAGACTGAAAATACTAATATAAAAAGAAAGAGCACTTTAAAAAATGAAATTGTATCTTTAGTACAAGTGGCAGACGTTGCACACGAATGTGACCTGGTAACTAGTGAGCTAATTATAGGGATGTGATTACTATAGTACCAAAGTGCTCACCCTGCTAAAAGTAATCGTGTGTGGAAGTTAGCTTGCCCTAAATGGCATGGGGTGTCTGCTGTAGTTAAGAAATATTGTCAGTGCACTATGACTGTTAGCCGGGGATCTTTAAGGCGCATCACGTAACAGTAACACGACTGTTTGCTAGCACGATACTCATCCTGATCAAAACGAGCAGGGGTGGTAAAAAACTCTAGGATCTCTGGGTTCTCCAGCATAAATTTTCGCTCCAAGCACCCCCCCCCCCCCCCCCCCAATTCTGCTATATTCTGCTACATTTCACTAAAATTTATACCAACACAATGCCAAAGGTTAATTTGTGTTTTCCTCTCCAAAAACTAACAAATATAGGGCATCATTGTTTATCATTTTAATGCTGCCGTATCGTTAAGGTAAGCTGGTGGAAATTTTCTTAATTTATGATTAGCGATTCAAATGGCGTACTATTTGATTCGATCTCCTTGTTGAACCCTTGACGGTGCTTGGAAAGTTCCTCAGTATTTCTCATTGTTCGAGGGCTGTTAGCTTGTCCAGCTCCGTTGAGCGCGCTTCTCACAGCGCACTGGAGCACCGCAGAGAAGCAACACCGTGGAGGAGGCACCGCGATCCTACGCATCTCGTCTGCATCTTGCGCAGGGGTCGCGTTGACGTCAGAACGACGCCGAGCTCTGATTGGCTTTGATTGGAAGGATATGCAAAATGCTAGATGCATGTTGGTCTACCCACAATTCTTTTTTTTAATCAGTTTGTAAGGAATGGGCGTTCTGACATCATCGTATGGTGTGTTCACCATGTCCAAAAAGTAGTCCCTCGATTTCCGCCTGATGACGTCGTAGAAGTGTCATGCTATCGCCGGTGGCGATCCTGGCGGTGTCACAGCAGCGATGGTGGATGTGGCAGACGCCTGTTCTGCTGCAGGTCGCTGTGTGGCAGTCCACGGAAGCTTCGGCAGCCAGAAGTTGGGACACCATGATGACAGCGACACTCGCGTTCACTTGTGCTACTCGCTGCTTCTCGTTTGCATTTCTGCGACCAACCGCCAGGATCGCGACATGCAACAGCATGACACTAGCATGACACTTCGGCCTCTGTGACGTTATTTGCTGCCACTTTGGGAAACTTTTGATGTATGGGCAGCAAAGGACGCTAAACAGACCAGTCGAAGACGCGCTCCAGGAATCATAATCATCGCAATTTCTGTGCAAGAAGCAGATGAACTTGTGTTTCGCATAAACATTGCACATACTTTGTGCCTTTGGGCTGAAAGAAGGCCCGGCCAAAGCTAGGCGCTCCAGCGGGAGTGGAACGAAAAGTTCGCGTTTCTCAAAGTCGCGCAACCCAGCTTTAACCCTTTACAGCCGAAAGCTGAGGCAGCAGATGCGCGTTAATTAAGGCTGGTTTAATGTCGTGATGTAGGCGAGTTGGTTCATGGTAACGGAAATAAACAGCGCGCAAAAAATACACAGGACGAAAGGAAGGTGTGAACGACACAAGCGCTGATTAGAAGAAATAAACTGGATTAATGTCGTGATGTAGGCGAGTTGGTTCATGGTAACGGAAATAAACAGCGCGCAAAAAATACACAGGACGAAAGGAAGGTGTGAACGACACAAGCGCTGAATCAATCAGTTTGTAAGGAATGGGCGTTCTGACATCAGCGCTTGTGTCGTTCACACCTTCCTTTCGTCCTGTGTATTTTTTGCGCGCTGTTTATTTCCGTTAAGGCTGGTTGTCGTTAAAGACCGTTTGCAGCGCAGTCGGTCGCAATCAGCGCGAGTGTGTCAACAGCCTTTACAGAAAGTCTGTAAGAGCCAGGCATTTAACGCGTTCTGTGTTCGAAAAAGTCTCGTTGAGGGTTGCTGAGGCAATTCTATTTTGCATCAAAATCTTCAAAATAGTCCTGCGGCTGCTATGCTGAAATATGCATATGCTACGCTGTAATGTTCTGTCAAACAGTCTGCATCATTAATGTTTTTTTTTTTGTTTTTTTTTTATTATTAGCGATATTTATGAAAGCATACTTGGATATAGCGAGGGCACATAGACTAGCGCTATACTCGGTGTCGACCGGATCATTTAGCTCTCTCTCTAACGGGTTTTTGTTCGTGTTATAAAATCTTCGTCCGTGATAATATAAATGAGGCTCTGATCTTTCACCGCGCGTTCAGAAGTATAAGCAGCTCTTGATAGTTTTGACTGCGAATTGTTTACGGGCCACAGCTCCACCAAAAATGATCAGTTCATGGAAGTTTTTCAAACGCTAGGCATGCATTGTGAAAACCTGTATACGTATACAACTGTCCTATAAAAACGAAATTCAAGTTAAAAAAAAAAAAAGATCGTCAGTTCATGGAAGATTTTCAAACGTTAGGCAAGCATTGGAAAAGCTGTATACATATACAACTGTCCTATAAAAAAACGAAATTCAAATTTAAAAAAAAAAAAGATCGTTACTTCTATTTTGAGAAGTGATGCAAGGAAACTACACTTGAATGTTGCTTGGTAAGCCTCTGCCTCTCCCACAGCAGCAGAGAAAACCGCGTGAATGTACACAATATTCGTAATATTCATAAGGAAGCACAAAAACATAAGTGGCATAGAGTATTAGGGGGAAAAACGGATGTAGGACAAAAGGCTTCCAAGTGGAATCCCAGACAAAATGGTCCCAAGTGAATATTAGACGCTCTTTAACGTTTTAGTGAAGTGCTACTCTGGAGTTCTATTAAACATACATTTAATGTTCTTATAATACAGCTATTGAACGTACGGCGGAGGGGTTCATGAAATATTTCCTATCGTATCTTCATGGTTCATAGGCGTTCGATACCTAACAAATCAGATCGAAGCCCTTCGATATACAGGGTGTCACAAAAGAAAATTTACACGGTCTTTTTTACCGCAAAAATAAACTAGGCATTGCCGAACGCTCATTCTCCGCCCCCCCCCCCCCCCCCCCCCCAAAAAAAAAAAAAAAAAAAAAAAAAGTTAGAGGTTACAATCAGATGTTAAAGTTTCAGTCCGATCCGATAACTTAATCAAAAGTTATAAGTGATTTTCTGAAAATTTCAATGGGAAAATTGCGGACGACGGAGTTTTTAAACAGATGGGGCTCTATGGCACCAGAAACCGAAAACGGGCAAAAATGGGCTCCACTTTCCCATTGAAATTTTCAAAAAATCAACTTTTGATGAAGTTTTTTTTTTTTTTTTTTAATGTCGATCAATCAATTAGCTAACAATCCACCATTTCACTGCTTAGCACACCTCTTCCCGAGGTCCCGTTGTAAGCTTTAATGCAATGCGGTAGAGTTACGTTTTGTAAACTTCGTGTTTTACTTTAATAAATTTCCGTGTTATTAAAAAAAAAAAAAACTGTGAGACGTGTTCAGTGAAAGCGATGCATCACGCACATTTACCACCAGTTTTTTTTTGTATGTAGTTTAATGAAAGGAAACTATTACACTGGTCTGTTTCAATTACCAGCATGAAGTGCCAATCCAAACTGAAAATTAACTGCTGTATTTGAAGTGTTTATTTCACAAATAGAAGTTTGTATTGGTATTTTGCGCACATATGTCTTTTTATATGTTGGTATTGTACCAAATAAAGTTAATAAAAAATAGGAACAAGAACAAACCTTACAAAATCTATTTGGGATCATTTTGTGCGGATTTACGATGGAGACCATTTTGTCCGGAATCATTTTGTCCTGTTCACGAAAAAAAAATATTCGGGGTTTTCGGTAATCACAAAAGTCATGAAACTGTAACAAACATTGAGCGCTCATTCGTTCCCTTTCAATATTTCTGTATTCAGTCGAATCAAACGATCAGAAAGAAAAAAAAAAAGAAAAAAAAAACGGGTTGCTGTACATACATCTGAACGTCTTAATACCATCATTTTTTTCTTTTTTTTAATGCAAGTTGTTGGAAGATTTGAGAAAGCAAAATTGTTTTACACTCGAAGATCGAGAAAAATCGCGCCAATCGATGCGGGTGTGGCATCGTGCGCGACAGGGACTGTAGTATCGTCTGGACATTCGACGCGCAACCAATATGGCGCGCACATTGAATGTCTGAAATTTCATATAACATTTACGGGAAATTTTTTATGCCCGCCGAATCATGTAGAGATCTTTTTCAGTCGCCTTTTGTGATAGAAATGCGTTTTAGCTCTTCCATCTTTCCAAACTCTCGAACAAGGACATGACAGGGCAGCGCGAACCCAGAAGGATCTCGACCGAATTTCGCAATGAACGATGTGATGGCCTGCATGAAACGATCAATGAACGAAAGTTTAATTTTAGTAACTTTTTTCTAAAAATGCAAGCCTTGGCATGTGCCACGCAGAGGCAGCAGCTTTTTCTCTGCTCTGCTGTAGCCTTGACAAAAACACGTCGAAACAATGCATGACCAGAAGAAAAAAAAGCACAGAACGCTGTAGTTACTAGTGATTTGTTTATTTATTTGTTCCTTGCGCCATACATAGAGATTCCTCATCCTCACAGGGCACAGTTCAAGTGTAGACTAACACCCACACGCAGTTCAGGAACGGACATGACTGACAGTTTCTGACGTCCGTTCGCAGAGGTCGGAACGCTTGCTTTTTGTCATCGTTTTTGTTTCTTGCAATTCGCGTTTCAAACTTCGAAGATAATACAAGGATGCTATTTCCTGTCACTTTCCATCACTAAAAAATGCAGATTTGTGGGTCATTGTACACTGTAGCTACTTTAAATTATACATTTTAAGAGAGCGAAGCACAACAAAGATGGACAAAAACGAATGCGTCCAAGCAGATGGCTAAGAAGTTCGTATACGCGTATTTCTGTAACACTGTGTTTTTGTTCGCTTGCGTTTCAAGAAGCCTACGCCCACAAGTTCGTTTTAATCGGCAGAAATTTTTGTTCGTACGTTTTTTCTTCTCTTTAATAGACTTTCTTCTTTTATTTTATTTTTTTCTTTTTGCACTCCCGGTTTTTTGTGTAACGACGCTTAAGCACACCCGCCAAAAACAGTGGAAAGAAAAATTAAAAAAAAAAAAATCGGAAACGATTTTTGGCAGCTGAGAAGTTGCTGAAGCGGCGGCGGTTCAACCAGGCGGACGAGTTTCGTCGTCTGCTACTCCAGCCAACGAGCCTCTTCCGCGCATGCGCGCGCGTCCCCTCCGGCGGCGCGACCTCCGTTTGCGCATGCGTGAACCGCCTCGCCGTGCGGCCGCGCAAACTAGCGGGCGTGTTGTTGGCTTCACTCCGAGGCTATCCGCTCGGTGCGGCGGTCGGTTCGTCCTTCGTCCAGCGATGTTTAGATTTCGGTGACAGAAGACAACGAATCTCGTCATGGGATTTTTACGCGCTGCGGCGAACGTCTTCTTCTTCCTCCTTTCCTTCATCACGTTCGTGAGTAATGATTTTTTTTTCTTGATTGTTCTTCGGTGCTTGTACCGGTGTGAGGTCGTGCGCCACTACTGCGTGATGTAACTTTAAAAAATGCCAGGCTAGCAGTCGTACTGCACTGGGAACATTTCTCATCTACGACGTGTAACAATGTCAAAATACTCTGGTATACTAAACTGTTTGTGTGTGTGTGTGTTTGTTTTTTAATCAGTGTCTCAATATTTCCTCCCGGACATACAGCGAGATAAAGAAACCCCTCTTTTTTTTTTTGATATAAAGCACGGATTAAGGAGTTGTGCCAAATTCTGCGAAAGGGTCGGTTTCGTGCATTTGGCGAAATGCCAAACGCTTCGCTGATGAAAACAAACGAACAAAAAAATGCTCGCGGAATTTAACATTTGAAGCAAGTACAAAAATGTACGGTAATAGTTTGTTTATTTACAGCGTGTATCATAGCCTATCACGATTGGCGTTTTATTCCACATTGTTCCTTCGAGATTTTCTTTTGCTAGTTAGCAAACGACAGAAAAGACAACCGCGTGCCACCTAAGAAAGCATTACAGCCAAACCTGTAAGCCAAGATCCCTCATGCGAAAAGAGAGAAAAAAGAAAAGAAAAAGCTATATAACAAATGTGGTGCTAACCAGTTCCTAAGACGCTAAATTCATGTTATACGATCTGATAACTTGTGACATATCATATAAATAAAATATATCTGTATATATTCGTTTGTACAAAATGTCCCCCCCACCAAAAAAAAAAAAAAAAAAATTACAGGATCTTTTTTTATCACAAAAGTTAGGCATTATTGAATGCTCATTTTCCTCCCAAATGTAGCCCAGCGGACCGAACCATCTGTCAAAGTTTCAGAACAAACCGTTTACGTATTCAAAAGGTATATGAAAAGGGGCCCTTTGCCCATTGCAATTTTGAGAAAATCACCTATAACTTTTGATTGAGATAACGGTTATTTCTGAACATTTGGCATCTGGTTGTGACCTCTAGCGCTACCTTTAGGCAAAGATTTATCGTTCAATAATGCGTGGCCTCTTTTTGCAAAAAAAAAAAAAAAAGACTTTTTTTTTTTTTTTTTGTGAACAAGCTGTACATTAGTGTATACTTTGGTATATCTGTACCCTTATCGCTTTCCTCCATTAATGTAATTTGGGCCCTGCAGGTTTAACTAAATCAATCAATATGTCTACTCCCGTTAAATTAAATGATTCAAGGGGACTCAAACACTGCATGATTGCAACACCAACAGTTGTAAGACGATGCCAAAGTGTTAAAGCTTCGGCATCGTCTGCAAAGCATTTTTAGTCTGGAACGTTAAAATCGACTTTCACAAAATTTTTCAATTATCAAACAAAATATCGTTCGTAAAAATTCCTAAATATAGTAATATTAAAAAATATATTCACCTTACACGCTAGAAAACAAAAACAAAAAAAGGTGCACCTGAGCAGCCTTGGATGGTCGTCAACCCCCTCACAGTTGCACATCCATGGCGACAAATAAACACAGTAAATTATAGGATGAAAGGTTCTTTCATCGCCATAAGGATCGACGCAAGAGGAAACCACAAACAACATTTACGATACAACTAACACGTTGATAGAAACTGATATCGGAGTTCAAGAGTGTTAAAAGATAAATATCTGAATGCATAAGTGTTGCGACTAAAGTTCGTTCAATCATTGAAAGGCCATAATCTATCCAGAGGGCCGAGTGACGAGCGGGATATGTCGGAGGTTTTATTCTGAATGATACTAAGTGGTTCCAACAACATAGCGAACGCCTACGTGTTCTAAAAGCAGCGTGTGTCTCAAGTTATATAGTTATGTTTACCCGTGTTTTCTCTCTGAAACGTTTCCGAAATATTCAGCTCACTTTTGAATTAGCTATCGTCGAATTCTGGCACTCTGCCATTTTTCTTCCTCGAACAGATAGCGCTGATGCTATAGACCTTTGCAAAAAATCGCCTTGTGCGAGCTGCCATCTTCGTCTGCTGGACCGTGGGATGCATTCTGAGCGTGCGCTGTTGCTCTGATGCGCGGTAGATCGGACGTTGAGCACGCGTCCACAACTGAGTAACTCGGCATCTTTCGCCCGGGTGATAAGCGATGCAAAGCCGACCGCTGAACTCTGTTTGCGATGCGTACTGCATTTGCGCGCTGCGAAAGCTACTGCTCGTTCTTCTCATAACTGTACTGAACACCACGCTCCGAGCTGATGGGATCATTTAGACAGCGTCAAAAGCGATCCATCATGGTGTTCGTCAAGCTTCTGTACGTGTTCTACCATCACTGAACCAATCCGGCGACTTGCGCTTTTGACACTGCTTGTTTGGTCCCATCACCTCGTAGCGTCGGCTGCGTATTGACGTAGGCTGAAACGAAGTATAACATTTCCGATTTTTAAATGGGATTTACGATCGTTCCTGGTTTTATATATAAAAAAACTGCTTTCTTTTTTTTTAATAAGCAAGAATAGATCAAAATGTAAGTCCCGTCTAAAAGCGCTCTCGACTTATTCCACAGCCATTGATAAAATTTATAATAAAAAAACGAGAATCTGTATTCCCAAATGCATTATTATTAGTATTATGTTTTTACATTGCGTAACTTTTTACGATTATTTTATTATAAGAAAGAGCTAAGCACTTTTCAGAGTCTAGAAAGAGCGTTCCGAAAAATCATCACTCAATAGATCCGCTCATTTAGGTAGGTGATATGTCGATCGCCCTTAAAATTCAGCTACTTTTGTTGACACTAAGACGGACATGTGCAATAGTGCCCCTCACGACTGGCACTTCACTCCCATTGGCTTGCGTAAGCGTTCATGTCGCCACACCGACAACCAACCACGTTCTCGTCAGTAGTTGAGGTGTGAGTCTCAAGGGTCGCAACGATTACACCGAGGTTTGACGACCCAAGAAACATATTCTACATGTGACTATTTTTTTGTCGGGTACGACTAAAGTACCGCCGCATTTTTTTTTCTAAGTTATTAGAATTAGTTGAGATTATGGGCTACACAAGCGATAAGGACATGAAGTGCTCATCCATCATTTTGAGCTTGATCGGGAGTTTGTGTTCATCACAAATGCGCATCTAGACTCGATGCTTATCGTGTGTCTCGAATATACACTCAGCAGAGTGGGTCCCGTTTTGGCCGGGACAGTCGCGTTTTTGAGGTCCGCTTCTGCCGTCCCGTCTTTTTGTCCTAATAAGGAATCATGTCCCGTTTTCGCAGGGGTGCACTTTTGAAATCGGCACCGAGCGAGCCGAAGCAAACCGAAACTATGCCTACTCGTTACAAGTATAGTTTACAAAAATTACTGTAGGTACTTTAAAATATTTACCCAAAGAGTAAAATTTAGAACTTCTGTGCTGTTGCCTACAAACTCCTTCCGAACGGGTGCGTGGAACTGGACTGGGAGTGCGACTGTTCCAGGGCTTAGTGCGATATGGTAAGGTTTTGAAAATAGGGTAGTTGTTTAATTAAATTTGCTCTCCCAATCTCAATCTTTAGTACCCCCCCCCCCCCCCCCCCCCTTTCTTACCCGGCCCGCTGGGAAGTCCCGTTTTCTATACCTTGAAAAATATGGTCACCCTAACACTCAGCCATGGCCAACTTTCTAGGACATCCCGTGGGATAAAAAGCTTTCAAGGAAAAAAATCTAAATTCTGGTTGAGGTACATTTTATGACACCCAGGAAATTACATTCCTGGGGAAAATTACGATCTTTTGTCGAGAAAGCAGAAATTGATCATTTTGTGTGAATGGGACTCAATGAATAAATAAAAATTGTAGAGCCGTGAAATAAAACGTATGCGCGTTCAATGGTTTAACTACTGCTTATTGAGGTTCGACGACTCTCATCTTAAATACTACCAGGGAACATTGCGATGCCTTTTGTTGTTCAGTTGAAATTCTCCTTTTAGTACATGCGCCGAGGCGTTGATGTCCCAGAAAGTTGGGGATGACGAGGCGTTGCCACCTGTTCAAATCTCGGCGCTCTATACTCTGTTTCATACTTAGCGTGCAACGCTTTCAAAGCTACTGGCGCGAGCGTGGGGCTTGATCTCGTTGATCATTTGCACGCGATCTCGCGCAAATAAAAGCATAGATGAAGCCACGCGCTCGCGCCACTAGCTTTGACAGCGTTGCACGCTAAGTATGCACGCGAGCTGAGGGGGTGGGGTGTCCATTCAAGGTCAGGAGGCGACTCAATGGAGTGTATATGATAAAAAGCTCGTGCCCTTATACGTAGTGGCATTAGGTTGTTTTTTTTTTTTCGTTTTTTTTTTTTAGCATAAAGTATTTTTTTAGTGATAACCCCCTTATGCTCGAAACATGCCCGTTCGTGCATTCTCCCGCTAAATTTAGCGGAAAAAATTAACCTCACGCGACAGCACTTTATCACGTGACGCGACGACTTGAAACATGGACACCAATTTTCCCGCTAAATTTAACGTGAAAATTCATTTCACGCGACCCGATGTCACGTGACTTCGGGTCACGTGACACCGCGACGTCGATTTCTTCGCCGAATTTAGTGGGGAAATTAATAAACGAGATGTTCTTCGCTCCTCGGAACCACAGTTCGATGTCTTCTAAACAAATTTAAACGATTGCACCTTAAAGAAAAGCTGATGAGGTCCTTGAACTCGAATAAAGAGTAAAATTTGTAAAGTCGACACCCTAAAAGAACATCGTAGTAGTAGGAGTGGCGCAAAAGCCAATTCAAATTTCGACGTAGACTCGCCCGTTTGCGGTGTGTTGACGATAGGAAAGCGCGAGAGCGGAGGAAAAAAAAACAACTAGAAGTGACGTCATCAGCGGGGTCAGATGACCCTTGCTCACCACGTGGATGACGTCACGACGTTCTGGACAGATCGCAGGCGGCAGAGAGGATCGCCGCATTTCCGGTGGCAATCGCTGCACGCGTTTTTCCAAATGAATGCTGTCTACTTCTGCACGAAATAAGCGCGATAACT